GCACTTATCTTGCTTTTTGCTGTGTAAGCATAACAGTGTTCGGGCCCGTCCAGATACAAATTGGCTAGTATGAGACCACAATCCTGTCTAAAAACTCATTAATCCTGGACCAACCGAAGGTTGCTACAAGGCGTTATTGGCGTGGGAGCGCTGAGGCGAGGCACAACAAGTGACGCGAAGGATGACGGAGAAATGGCGTGACAGCCAAGAACAAAAACACTTATGTGGACACCGGTGCACGGAGAGCGAGCGAGTGGTGGGGGATTCCCGGGCATCATCACCCGACCCCGTGCTTGCTCTGAACCATACAGATTACTGTACGGTGCTGCACCGTACGTGTCGTACGTGTCGTACCTCTCGGTCAGTCGGCAGGCGGTACTCGACCCAAGAGCTGCCTCCCGGGCCTGCCGCGCCGAAGTCCAGCCATTTAGTATCCACACGACCTACACGTACGTACGGCGATACCGTACAACATCATGTGTCGTAAATAGATGGATGCTATAAGGTGATAAATCGTAGAATTGACAATGTGATAAAGCGGCCCGGAAGCCTCCCACTCTGTAACACTGATGGATGCAAAGTTATACAGCGATGTTTACATCCTCTTTCTCAGTCCTCTTACGTGACTGAGGACTTTCGCGACCTGATATTAGCTCGCGAAAAAGAAAGGAAGACCCAGACATAACACTCCCGTCTCCACTCCAACCCTTTGGAAAAACACAAACTCCAAAGTCACTTCCTTACCTGCTCCTCTATGTATAACCACTAGGGTTTCAGTTTCTTGCAAGGAACACTCGGATCAATGGCCTTATCATGAGTGCACGTGTACACAGACACAGATATAAAAACGGACAGAGAGGTAACCGGACCAGAGGAAACGCAACAGGCTGCAAGCAGGATAAGGAACTCGTCCTACTGGAAGGGGAAGGCCATTACTAGCCGTGTCCGAGGACGCACCGTCGAAGAGCCGTTCGACTACCTCAGTCGTCTCATTGTGTCCCGCCGCTCGACATGCACCGCCGGACAGCCGCCCCGCCGATGCAAATACCCCATTGTACGGCATCCGGGAGGGCTCGTCGGCGGCCAGTCGATAAGAGGTTGGCGGCCGAGCAGCGGGTGCCGCCGCCACCGCCGGCGGCGCCACTGCCGCCGCCGGGGTCAAACTGGAGGAGCCTGTTTGCACACATACATGCGCGGCATACATACGTACACAGAAGAAAACATGGGGCTTACAAACATAAGTACATACGTACAGATTGCATGGTAATGGGCGCCAGCTTGTCGCCGTATACATGGATCACTTAGATGCGACATCAAAAGATGCCATAAGGGACCAATGCCATCGTTACGGCATTGCATTGCATTGCATGGCATGGCATAGCATGCACCGCATGATTGTGCCGAAATGCATCGAAATGCGTCGTGCGTCGCGACACATCATCATCATCATTATCGCACCGATCGCACAACAGCAGCATTGCACCCCCAGTTGTTTACTTCACAGTGATAAAGCCACAATGTTTTTTTTACCAGAATTGCACAACAACAGCATCGCATCGCATTACTATACGTTTCAACGGTTACGTTTCATCGGAATACATCGCATCTCAACGAGATGTGCGATCTAACTACATATTACGTCGTATCGTATCATGTGACATTTGATTGCATTTCGTTGCATTTCATTGCACAGCATCACATTGCGCGTCGCATCCGTCGCATGGCACGGCATTGCACTACTGCATGCACCGCATGCATCGCATCGCTCTTATTCGAGTTGGCGAGCATTTTTGCATCGCAACGAAATGGTTAGCATGTAATAATTCCATGCAATGCCATACTTCCGCAACGCATGCGATTGCACTGCATAATCGCATCGCATCGTATCATCACTGTATTGCGACACCGTATCGCATCGCATGAATAGCACATCATGTCGTACTGTATTTGCATCGCATCGCGTTGCGTGATACACCATTTCATGGCATCATAATGCAATGTCACCGTCATAGCCTTAAATCATGTGTGTTGGATTGCATTGCATCGAATATCATGTATTGCATTCCATCGCGTCGCATTGCATCGCGTCGCATTGCATCGCGTGGCATCGCATGGCAGCATCGCACGGATGCCAAACATCGCGCCGCATGCAATGCATCACAGCATCCAAAGAATCCACCGCATCGCGATGCGCCACACTGCATTGCAGCATCGCCTCGCATAACATTCATTCCGCCTTGCATCACGATTTCGCAACACATCGATCGCGTCGCATCGCGTCACATCGCATCGCGTCACATCGCATCGCGCATTGATCGCATCGCGCGTTGATAGCACCGCGGTAAACTTTCCATTGCATCGCAATGAAATGCAGTGCTTTACAGAACGCGCATGGGACCTGTACATCTGGTTCTACTCTATAACCAGTTTGCTTTGTTTACAGTGGACCCCGATCGGGTCGAGTGCAAACCAGCGGCAATACAAACATATGCCCACTGCTCTGACGCAAATAGAGCAAAAATCGCCACATCCATGTAGGACATATGATATACAGATCTGCTTATAGCTTTGGCTGAATCAGCATGAGACCAAGACGAAGCAAAAATCTGCTGGCCATAACACTCTTCCATAATTTAGCTTTTCGTGTCGTAGATGTAAAAAGAAATTTTAGGACAAAAAGTAGCAAAACATGGACCGTACGGAAGTTCGCACATGTGCGAAAAGAAAAAGGTGTGTCCAAAAAGCGGGCAAGCGAGGGCGGGCGGCCTTCTTCCAAAACTCCCAACGGGGTCCCAACGGAATCTCTCCCCTCCCTTCCAACCCCCCAAATAAATCAGGTGCCCACCGGTTTCTCCGCGCTGCTGGCGCCACTCCAGGGATCCCGTTTGACGGCCGGGGAGCGCTTGTCGAGGCGCTGCGCCGCTGCTGTCGTTTGAAGCCCGGAGTGGTCCAGAGAGAAGCAACTCCTGGAGGGGCGTCCCCGCGAACGGAAGCGGAAGCGACAAGCCGAGGCGGCAGGCGGTTACGAAGGGGGAAAAAAATTGCCTATTTTAAGGCAACTGCCCTCAGGAGCGCGCTGATGCTAGGAAATGCACGACTCCACACGGGGGGAGAGAGGGGAGAGTTCTTTAGGGCTGTGGACGCGCAATAAGCCCACTGAATTCTAACAGGCGCGGGAGCAGCAGGGTACATGGGTATGGACAAACAGACAGACAGACAAACAGAAACAGGTACAGAAAGACACTCCGGGTAAAGGCACCTCATATCATACACCCACCATCAGTGTAAAGACTTCAGAGTAACAAATCTGCAAATCCTAGATTGGAGGCATGCTGTGGGAGGGTGCTGGCGCGGCCGATTCCGCTTTATTCACTCCTTCCCTTGAAGGGTGGAAAAGAGCTTCGGTTCTTAGGATTAAGGTACCTCACGGGCCCCAGCTGCACCCCAGGCTCCACACATGCAGCCGCAAGATCTCTTCGAAACCCGGCCCCGCAGCCACTCCTCACCACCCGTTCCTCCGCGTCGCGCCCCAGCCACACCAGCCGCCGCGGCGCGCTCCATCGGGCCCGTATGGCCGTCGTCATCTCATCCAAGCGCCGCTCCAACCAACGCTCCGGAACCAGTGTACGGCGGGGCAGAACCTCAGGTCGCCATCTGCCACTCCGAGAAGGGGAAGAGAGCAAGTGGAGACCGAATGGGCCGAGGAGTGGGGGGATGAGCGGGAGGGCGGGGCGGGAGGGAGGGAGGGGCGTGTGGGAGGGAGGGAGGCAGGAAGGGAGAGAGGGGAGGAAGGTGGAGCTGATGCCACAGATGGGGACGAGGGGGGTGTTTCAGCTTCCTCGGAACGACACACGCTGATTCCCCCTATGTACGGTTCCAACGGTTTTAACGGTATTAATGATTTCAACAGCCTAGCTTCCTAGCCTGTCGTGTCAAATACTTGACAAGCTTCACATCTCCGCATCTTTTAGCTCTCACCCCGACATTCTAAAAACCCCAGTCGCAATCAGTAATCACCCAGTCGCAATTTCCCGCCTCGTATCAAGGCTCATCCTCCTGCATGCCCCGCATGCTTTTTCCGCACTTACTGTGCCGTGTATCGTCGTGTGACGTCCGTCAATCCCCACACGCCCGCCGCCACCACGTACGACACCGCCTTGCCCCAACCGGCCTCGTACAACAACGGTTGGTCGTAGCTGGCTTCGCACGAGTCCATATGAATCCACCTACGAATTGAAAGTTTGTGGAAGAGGGATAAAAACTTCAACTTCATCACTTATGTTATTACACATTGTTTAATTGCAATATAACAATAACAATTCCAATTAATATAAAAATATCACGTGCATGATCGTATTAAGATAATAAAATTAAAAATAAAACGAGAGAAAGGAGTAGAACGTGGGTCTAGGTTGTAATCGGGGTACAGCTTAATGGCTGCTGTGATGTTGGGGATTCAGGGCGTGTCGTATCCTGCCATGTTCGTACATGTTCGTACCTGCGCATTCGGTGGCTGTAGTACTCAGTCCATACGTGGTCAGACCAATCCGACACGTAACGCGCTGTGAGGCCTGCGGTGAGAAGGAAAGAAGGAAACAGCAGCAGTAGCAGTAGCAGTAGCAGCAGTGCAGCAGCACTAGCAATAGCAGCAGTCACTGTAATATGGGAGCTGCACTGGCATAACAGTCTGCAGCAGTAGCAGTAAGCAGCAGTAGCAGTAAGCAGCAGTAGCAGTAGGCAGTTGCAGCTAAGTAATAGCGACTGCAGTAACAACAGCAACTTCGCAACTCGCGCCCGAGCTCTTAGACAGCAGCAGCAACAACAACAACAACAATAACAGCGACCTATCTGCCATCCCCTCATCCCCCACGACCCTCCCAAAACCGACACAACTACCCCCAACTACCCCCAACTACCTGCCGCGCGGCAGCATAGCAGGAACGCGTTGGCCCACTCGCCGCATCGTCCCCTCCGGCAGCCCGGCTGTAGCAGCCGACCCGGGTCGTTGTAGCGCGGGAAGCGTGTTGCCGTACCACATGTACTGCAGTGATGCAGCTCCACACGATTTGCCCCACCAGCTAGGTCGTCCGGCTGCGGCTGAGCGGCGCCTCCGAAGCGCGTGGCGGTACTCCCGCAGCGGTGGCAGGGCAGCGTGTCGACCTTCGGGTGTATGAGCATGGTGATGAACGCAGGCGTTATAGCGAACCGGCGGCCTTCATCACATACCTTAAGCTATGTGTAAACCTTTAGCTACCCGGGCAACCAGCCCCCTTACCACATCCTTTAACATTGAATGCTGATAAGTGAGTGAGCGCTCTGTGCGCTACTTACTATTTGCAAGTCAACATGTATACAGCCTAGCCAGCCCCTCTTACGCTCAAACGCCTCTTTTTTAACTTTACCTCCATCTCCCCTCATGAGCCCCCCGCACCCGGGCCCCCCCAAACGCAATCCACTCAATCGCACCCTTTAGGTAAAAGCATATGCCGCCCTGCTCCTGACAGGACATTACCGCCCTCGTCCAGCGACTGCCCGTGTGTTCCGGCTCTCGCGCTCACTCTCGCTCTCGTATTTCCGTCCCTTCCGACTTCCCTTTCTCCCCCCCCCCATAACCTCGACTGCACCCGGCACCCCTCATCTCTTCCAGTCCAGGAAAAGCCCTAAAACCATTGTGGGTAACGGCACACGCGAATACTCCACGCGCAAGCATCAAGCCAGTCGTCCGATCAGCAGCCCGCACCCACCCAGGTGAAAAACTCGGTTTTAAACCAGCGCAGCAGCATCTTGGCGAGCAGGTCCTCCCTAGCAGGCGCCTCCACGTCAGGGCCCAGGCGGGGAGCCAGGGTGGCGGCCTCCTCCGCAGCGCCGCGCAAGCGGGACAGGGGCATTACGGCGCGTGCGCGCTCTTGAAGGGCCTTATCCTCGCACTGCGGGAGGATAAGAGGTAGGTAGGTGGTTTTGGGGTAGCTAGGTAGGTGGTAGGAAGGTGTAACACGCTGGTAAAGTAGGCCAACTACTAACTGTCAACTGCTACCTGCCCGCCAACCCCCTGGGCCGATTGACAATTTGGAGTTGTTACAATTTACAGTTACGGTTATTTACAGCAGCTGCACAGCTTAAGTGACCGCATATCCAGACAACAACACACAGCTCCCCGTCAGGGTGTCTGGCAAGCGGTTGCAGTGGTTGTTGTTGGTTGGTGGGAAGCGGTTGTAACCCACCCGCAGAGCCGTGTCGAGCATTGAGTGGAGGCGGTCGGCAAACTGAGTCGTGTTGGTGTGGGCGGCTGCTGACACGCCCCGAGTACCCCCGCCCTGTTCGTGTTGTTGTAGCTGCAGCTGCGCCTGCATCGCCTGGATAGCACGCAGCTCCTCTTCCTTTGGATGGGTGGAGCGGGGGGCGCAGCGGCAAATGTGGAGCAGTGGCAAATGTGGAGCAAAAGCGGCAAATGTGGAGCAGTGGCAAATGTGGAGCAGTGGCAAATGTGGAGCAGTGGCAAATGTGGAGCAGCGGCAAATGTGGAGCAGCGGCAAATGTGGAGCAGCGGCAAATGTGGACGACACAGCAGCAGCAGCAGCAGTGGCCCAAAGCGATGGCGAAAGGCAAAAGAGAGATAACAATAGCAACAGCAATGAAGGTTTATGTTGACAGGGCAAGATTGGCAGCGTGGGTTGACGTTTGGCGGTGTACGGGCAACGCGACAGAACGAACACAGCCGCCGTGGTTGTGACACGAGTAAATTTAGAGGAATGGATGTGGCCTTGAAACTCGTCGCTGTGTTGATGAGATGAACGTGCTGATGTGGTGATGCGGCTATACGGCGCGGGCGGATGAGAGATGAGGGTGGAGCTGGAGGGGATGTTGCGTGTCATGCGCCGCGACCGTTGACGGGTTCATTTCTCCAGTCCACATGCAAAAGATCTCGGAGTAACCCATTACGTACGTAATAACACGTATAGAAAAACGCGTCATGCTGTTCTGGTAGGTAACGTAGTTCAGCAGTCCGGTCATGCATAGCAAGAATTTGACGGGCTAGGAAGGCTGAGGTCCCAGCCGTCAGTAATAACTTTCTAAGATTGTCAATGATACGCGCTGTCACATTTTTAACGGACAGACATGAGTTGTAGGCTTTGGGCCTACATATCTACGGTTGCCCAAGTTTGAGGCAAACATGACGTCGAATTTAAACCTAGAGGCTTAAGGTGTCAGATGATTTGGCAATAATTCTAATGCATCAATCGCACAGCATATGGAGCGACTTGCAAGTACACACCGAGTCCTTGCGCGGACTGGTTGTCCACTGAAAATAGAGACATTTGCGGACCTGGAGCATCCTTGCAAGAGCCTCATCCGGATCCATGCTTGCCAGCAGATGTCCTAGGAGGTAAGATGTAACCTGAAGGCTTCAAAGACCAACTTGATCACTTCGAAATGTAGAAGATTTTGTAAGCTGCTGACAGCTTGAAACTATAACTTGAATGGTTTCGGGTGCAATTCGCCACAATCGACAGTGTAAATGTTCTCGACAAACATCTTATACTGGGTCACGTCATTTAAATTGTGAAACAATAATTCATGGTATGGCACTTCAGAATAATGCGACCGAATACTGCAAAAGCCTCAAACCGAGGATGTACGAAACTCTACCGAACCACTAACTGTGTTGTGGTCTAACACCAGACCATGATACGTATGAGCACTTGATGAATTGCTTATAGCCCTGATTGATCATGTGATTTGGTGCAGAATTTTGTTTCTGATATCTTCTATCTGAAGCGATTCCTCATCCACACCCACTCGTTTTGACGCTACGAGACCACTTTCTCAGCGCACCGCAAGCATATCGCATTTAAGTTGTCTTCGTCACACCTGCTCATGCGCACGAGCCGTCTCAAATTATCCGCAGCGTCTCCCAAGAGGAAGACGCGACATGCACTCGCTGCCCTGTGCAAGTGGTGGAGAAGATAGTGTGTGCGTGGCCCTCACACAGCTGTCGAAGGTATGTTGTATACTGATGCGTGGTCAAGGAAACCGTTTGGGTGCTTGTTACCGCGCCTTTGTTGCTGCGTGGTTCTCGCAGCGACCGAACGCGTGGCTCACGTCGACGTAGTCGACGTTCCACACGTTGACCACTTCGATTGCGAACTTTACGTTTCGTTTTTTTGCATTACTACAGCGCCTCATGGAGGACAACACCAATGGTCTGCAAGCTGGCGGATGCGACAGCAGCGATTGCCTGTTCTGCCAGTATCGCTCGAACAGCCCGTTCCACCTTAACGCGTATGCTGGAAAGCTAACCTCTCTGTTAAGGAAACGAAGCTTAAACGGCATGATGCTGACTTCGCTCAACACCCGCGTCGACGCGTCAGCCGAGCAATGCGCCGCGCTCCCCGCTATCTCCCCTCCGACAGTCGCACGGTGTAGCGACAGCAAGCGGCACAGACAGATGACCTCCACAAACGGCATGGTCACTGCATCAGGATTGACACCAGGCCTGGCATCCGAACCATTCTTCGGGCCACCTGCCTTGACCGCAGTGTCAGGCACGACCGCACCCACAGCCCCTCACCCACACCGGCACCCACTAGCCGAAGTGGACGAGCCCCATGACTGCCTAACCATGTGTGGAGGTCGCCAATGTTCCGATCACATCCTACACGGGGCCGTTTCATGGTTGCATGGGGAGGACGTCGTACCTACAACCACTGCAACTACCGGTTCAGCAAAGCCAGCGGAGCAGCCCGCTCCGGCTCCTGCTATGGACCCGGACTCAGCTGGAATTGAGGACAATGCCGGTGCGGGTATTGTCCGTGCATCTGAGGCAGCGGCGCCGACTGAGGTAGCGGCGGCGACGGTCTCAGGTTTGGCGGCCAACGCTGGCGGTGGCCTCGGCACCACGCTGGCGCCGCCACTGTCGCTAGTCCAAAATCATCATCCAGAATCCAGGATCCAAGCTTCTGTCCAAACTCAACAACTACTTGCTCATCCACGTCACCAGCAGGCCCACTGCCCGCTCAGACCCGAACAGCACCAGGGCCGTCACAAGCAACAACAGGGCCCGCCATCTGAGGTGCACCAACAACAAGGGCGAGAAGCCGTGCAGCCGTCACCGCCACTACCACCGCTCGAGCAACAGCAGCAGCAGCAGCGGGCGGGGCGTTTGGTATGCGGGCGGGAGTTGCCGGAGGGCTGGTCCTTCCAGGGGCAGTGGCGGAACCTGCCTGACCCCGTGCCCGCAACGCTGAAGGAGCTCGTCCGCCTGCCAGGGCCGTCGTACTATTCACGTCACGGTCCCGGCAGGCGACCACCTGGCTGCGATGTAGGGCCATCGGGCTCTGCTTGCAGCGGGTCGGCTGGGATTATATGTGCTTTGGAGTTTTCGCCCGATGGGAGGTTGCTGGCGGCTGCTGGCGTGGATAAGCAGGTGTGTAATGTGGGAGGATACGGATTGTTGTTGTTGTTGTTGTTGATGATGATGGGGTGTTACACTGTCGGCGGCAGCTCGTCCCGAGGAAGGACGAGCACCGTCGGGGCCCTGACCGGGGGCCGAAACACAGCGCAGGGACGGGCGCGCGGCTGTTGTTTGTTGTTCTTGTCGTTGTTGTGGCAGGCCCAGGCAAGCGGTGCGCCTCCCTCAAGCCCGCATGATGCGATGGAGGCGCACGAGGCCTCGATGCCTTTCTGGTTGACTGAGCACAAACAGATAACCTGATTGACTAAGCACAGGCTGATAAGAAGGTAGACGACGTCTGAAGCGGGAAGAAAAGGAGAGAAAGCGAAGCAGGAAGAGGCATGGAATGTGAGCTTCTGCAAGGTGCCCAATAGCAAGATAGGTGTGAGCTCTTTATCTTGAGTGGCATTGACGTTGCCGTGGCTTTACCCTTCAACTTATATCACCGTAGATTCGGTTGTATAATCTCGCCAGCATGTTTGGGGACTTGGGCGAGGAAGAGTACGACGACGACGAGGAGTACGGCGATGGCGCGGTCGATTTGGGCATGCAGCTGTGCGGCTCAGATGACGGCGTGTACGGCATGCGGCATGAGGACGACCCGGACGCATCCTCCGCGCGTGGTCGCAACCTCCGCGGTGTCCACGGCGGCGATTGCTGCATCGCCAAGAATTCGCTGGACGACGGTGACGACGACGCGCAGTACGGCTCGTTGCTAGCTGCCGTACAACGGATGCCGTCCAAAATTAGCAGCATGGCATGGTCGCCGTTCCTGGTAAGAAACTGACAGGGAGAGAAATACATACGTATGTACATACATACATATATACATACATACATATATACATACATACATGTTTGTTTTCCCTTCGAATCCCGTTTTCGTTGGTGGTGTTTTGGGGGGTTGTTTCAGAGAGCCTTTGATTTTGCCCTAGCTTAGACTTGTGGACTCGCTCTAGCGATACCTCTGAGCCCCTCGCGGGGTCTTCACTGCAGCGCCATCCCCGGATGGAGTGGCTGCGGAGTGGCTGCGTAGAGTGTTGGCAGTCTGAGTCGGGGTCGGGAGCACACAAGACTAACCGACTTGTGCTGTGTGCTCCCGACCCTTGCGCTGTGTTTCGGCTTCGGCCCCCGGCTCTCGCGGCCCACAGTGTAATCTAAGTCATACATACATACATACATACATACATACATACATACATACATAACAACATACATACATACATATACGTGCTGATATGTACGCCGCACGTTTCTGATTATCGGTAGGTTCTGGGAGCCGGGGCCGGGGCCCTGGCCAGATGATCCATCAGATCCACCGGTCCGTACTCCGTACGACACGTCTCCGTACACGATGCCTGGTAGCGAGTCCCCAGTTCGAATCCGTCCGTCCCATACCTCCTGATGATGATCTGACGCGAGTTTTTTGATGTCCCGCTCTTGATGCAACTTTATGCTTATCCTGCACGCTCCTCGACCATTCTCGCCGCATAGGACGGAGTCCTCACAGTGGGCGACTACGACGGCGTGCTGCTGCAGCTGCACATCGCTTCGGGTCATCAACTGGCTGACGTGGAGGCCCACGACGGACGCAAGATATGGTCTGTCGCGCACTCCTGTCGTACACCGCACCTGGTAGCATCTGCAGCCGATGACCGCTGCGCGAGGCTATGGGCGGGGCGCGGTCTGTCGCAATGCATCGCTAGTGTGCAGCCCAACCCACGCGCTGCAGTGTGCAGCGTAGATTTCTCGCCCGCGCGCGATCACCTGCTGGCGTTGGCGTGCTCGGACCGTACGGCGTACGTGTACGACATGCGGAGCCTGGATCGCGGGCCGCTGGCTACATTGCGGCACCATGCAAGACCGGCAAGCTATTGCCGGTTTCTTGGGGGAGATCGACTGGTGACAGCGGCGACCGACTCGTCATTGGCACTGTGGGATTTATCAGAGGCGGTTCCGGCGTTAAACGGGATCATCTTGTCGCCATCGCCGCCGCCGTCGTCGACCCTGGCAGCGGATTCCCTGATGCCGTTTTCCGTGGTACGGCAGTATGGCCAGCCACAGCCGCTGCCGTCGACGCAAGAGCAACAGCAGCTGGATGAAGCAGCAGCGGCAGTGAAGGAGGCTTCGAGCCGGCCAATGCTCTCCAATGGTTGCTTCGAGACGTCGGCGGCAGCAGCGAGTCGTTCCATAGGCAGCAGTAACGGCGGCTTCGACCACCATGGCTGTGATGGCAGCAGCAGCAGCGGTAGCGGCGGCGGCGGAAGTAGCTCCACCGTGTTATGCGGGACCGCTGGCGCTATGACGCGGCCATGCAGGGTTTTCCAGGGCCATCGCAACGAGAAAAACTTCGTGGGACTTTCCGTACGAGCTGCGGACGGGCTGCTGGCGTGCGGTTCAGAGTGCAGCCGGGCATTCGCTTACCATTCCTCCTGGTCAACCCCCCTGGCCACTTTAGAGTTGCCATGGGGCTCCGGAACCAATCCCACCGCCGCCGCCGCTGAGACGGCGAACCTAGCGTACTGCAATCCCGAACGGCCGGCGGCAGGTGTGCTCTGCCGCAGCGACGGCGCTGCGGGCATTGGACCGGGCGGTGGCAACGGCTGTGGTTCTGGTGGTGGCGGAGTGGGCGGTGGGTTTGTTAGTGCGGTTTGTTGGCAGCCTGCGGAGGCTGCTGCGGTGCTTGGATTGCCGCCGCTGCTGGCGTCAGCCACGTCATTTGGGGCTGTCAACGTCAGTGTGCTGGCTTCCCGGCACTGAAGCTTCTGCCACCGCAGCAATAGCCAGCTTTTTCTCCGTGGCGCTCTTTCGGACTTTCGGTCAGCACCGTGTCAGCTTTTGGCTGCTCCGAAGCCGAGCGTGACGTGTCACATGGGTCGCGGATCCCTGCACGACGATGCTGTTGCTGCAGAGTGGGAGGCTTCTGGGCCATTTGACACATGATTATGTAATACCATGGCTACAGGACGAGGCTGCTTCTTGCCCTACATCGAGGTTATGCTAGCGTGGAGAGGTGCCAAGTCTGGAGACTTTCTAAACTTCCCCTTAACGGGAGCGCGGTCATATGCCTGTTTGCCAAGGCCTAATGTGAGCGAACAGAAAATCCGTCGTATTTTTCATGTATCTCGAGTCTTATATCTCGAGTCTCGAATGAGATCAGTGAGTTGAGTGCGTTTTGAGCGAGGGAGGACCAGAACCCAGGAGGCTTCCACCTCCCTTCATTTCAACATGGCGACACATCAACATGGCTCCTGGGAGAGCATCGGGCCTACAAACAGCTTATTGTCTCTTTGAACGCCCCTGCGGCGTAGGGGCAATCTCCCTTTTTCAATTATGGCTGTGACTTTAGGCTGCGGCTGCATGGCTTGGCGGCTATGGATTTGCAGAGAGTCTGCGACGATCGGTTGGCTGGTTGGCAGCAAAGCGCTCATATGCACTCGCACCGCGTACGGGACAGGTTGCTGTGCGTTTTCCAAATGCCAAAGGACTGAAAATCGAGGGGACTACTGAAAACCGCGAACCCGAACCAAGAAGGTCCAACCTTTTGACTTTTTTCCAGTGTTTGTTTTTCCAGTGTTTGCACACAGAGGGGCCTTTGCCCTGATATGGAAGAGCGTGCGAGCTGTGCGTTTGAGATGTGCGTGTGGGCCTGGGCTGCGGCGCACTTGTCAGGTCTGCGGGAAGGTCACCGCAACAAAGGACGCTCTTTCCAATATGAGTCGCTAGGTGGAAAGGCAGCATAGGAGAGGAAATGCAGTGTAGTGTATAGGGCGGGCGGGCGGAATGTCGATTGCTGTCTTTATTGCGACTGCGGCGAGGCGACAGATAGGTTATTGACATTCGGCGGATTAGGGTCGGGCTCACTTCCTCTCGCCGCGACGGCAAGTAGGCGGCTTTCTGGAGCGCTTAGACCGCGTCCGGCGATGGATTTAGGATTCAGGTGACTACGTAGGCTGGGGATGGGCTCGCACAAAACCGGGCTGGACGAGAAGTTAGATCCGTTTTCGTTTGGTGTTTTTGGACGAGATATTGGATCCACCCTTGTTTAGTGCTTTAAGAAGCGTTTGCTATGTATGCTCTTTCTTACTTTGTCTTATGCACGGCATACATACGCTGTACTCTTTTAAGTGAATTCGAGTTTTCTTTCATGTATGTAAAGATGCAGGACTTGTGAGATGCAGGATGCTGACCGTGACGGGATGCTGACAGCTCCCGGAGGCGAAGTAGGCATGCGGGTCATTCCGCTGCGCTTGGTGTGATCAGTTTTGGGCCAAGGGCTCCCAATTAAGCCATATCCAAATGGCCTACTATCCTGTATTGCTGGCATCTCTTATCTCCTGGCTCCAAACGCCTGTGTGTTCCACTCGTCAATTTAAAACATGACAGCCGTGGATGTGTGTAATGAGGCTGTATGATGTTGAGGCTGTATGAGCACTGTGCAGGGTGCGGGGGTTGTCTTGTCGGGGGATGGTGGGGGAGGTGTCTTGCCTTGTCGTGTGTGTGTGTGTGTGTGTGTGTGCGGGGGGTGCGGGGGGTGCCTTCTCTGTTATAAGGATTCCCGTTTGGGGTTGCCGGACAGAAGGAAATGTTCCATCTCTCAACATTGGTTTCGCTCTCTTCGTTTCGCCTTTCTCGGGACCAGTAATGCGGAGATCTTAGAACTCCTACAAACATGGAAGTTAACTGTGGTTCGATGCTGGTAGTAATTTGTATGAATATGTATGTGTGTGTTTTATATCTTAGTTGTAACGAGCCCATATATGAGTAGTTTACTGGCGACAGAGGCGTGCTTGCTGGTGCTTGGGGATCAGTGTTTGTACGGCAAAAAGGTGAGCAGCCCCGTAAATCTACTTCAACATAATGAGGATAGCATGCCGCCGTGTCACTTGCATGGTGGCTTATATCAAACGTGCCGATTGAGTTGTTGTAAAATGCCGTGAGTCGTCCTTTTCGTCGTCGTGTTCAACCGGACATACGCACATGCAAGATACAGCCAGAACATTCAGCAGCGCCCCCAACCCAGCGCCCAACGTTTTTCGCACAGAATAATTTGCCATCTAAATTAAAACACCACGCTTAGCTAAACAGAATCCTTCAGGCGTAGATATAGGATGTATATGCCCAGTCATCCGAGCTGCGGTTCCCGTTTTCTCACGGTATACCTTCAGCATGCCACGACTAATGCGGCTGCTTATCAGTCATCCGTTCTGTTGGCAAGGGGAATCGGATACCTCCATGAAAACTTACGAGCTTTGTCTTCTGCGTTACCGACTGCACCTGCGAAGACGCTGTTCCGAAACGCCACGGCGGAGTGCTCATGGTGCACCTCGGCACCACAGGCCGCCAGGAAAGCTCAAAACCACTCAAAACGTCACCAGCGCAGGCCGAAGCGCAGGCCCGACCCCCGGCGCTGCTGAGCACTAGCACCCGGCTTGGCCGCTGCTGCGCCCCCTTTTTGCTCCTTGGGGTGCTGGCCCACGCGCATCCCGTCCTGCGTGTTTCCTGCACTCTCCTGCTGCTGTTGCCGCCAAGGGTTACTCACCACGCTACGGGAGATATCCCGCAGTGGAGCAGATACAGAAGCACCAGAAGTCCCAGCGACCCACGGGTCCGTGGACGCAGTGGCCCTTGGTGGCTGCATTTGGTCCGTGGCAGGCCACCCGACGGTGGCAACAACGGTGCTGGTGCTGTCCCCCTCGGGTGCTGCGACAGCTGGGGCTGCAGCCGCTGCGTACCAGACCAAAGGCTGCGACCACTCCGGCTGCCAGGACTCCTCGCATTGGCTTCCTGTTCCTGCGGAGTTGGACGAAGAGACAGCTGGCGCGGAGACGGCCGGCTCTGCCGCCGCCGCGTCGGCTGGGCTGTGTTGAGAAAATCGCCCCTCAGGTCGCTGGCCGGAAGGCCTGGCGTATTGTGGCCGGTGCGTCGGCTGGGCGGCCGCAGCCGCCGCCATCACTGGGACAGTATCGGTGGTTGCGACTACGGGCGCGCCCTGTTCTAGGGCGGGTTGTACAACGGCGTGCTGGCCTCCATCCGGCTCTGGAGGTGCGAGGATCTTGAGCGCGGGACTAACGCTGGAGTCGCTGTAACGGCGCTGCCGTGGGACACGGCGTGGAGAGGTCTGCAGCTGCAGCTGCATCCATCGCATGGCAGCGCGCAGGCGCACGGCGGTGGTGTTGGGCGTGAAGGAAAGCCCCGTGGGCTGACCGGGGGCGTCTGGCGGCGGCGGTGGCGGCAGGCCAGCTTGTTGCTGTCCATCGTTCATGCCACGGGGGTGTTTCCCGGGAGCAGAGTCGGTCGCGGCAGTTGCTGCGGGCTGGGTGGTGTCGCTGCTGCTTTCCCCTTCCACCAGTGTGCTATCTTTCGTTGGAGCTGCTGGTGGCGCCATGACTCTCAACTGCACGCCCTGCACATCATGCGCGCGTTGGTATGCTGCGAAGGGCACTGGAGAGAAATCCGCCTCGCTTGCGTCATCTTCAATCGCAGCTTTGTGGTGGCGCAGGCGGCTTTTGCCGCCCGCCGCGAGAGGGGTCGTGGCCGCGCTTGCGGGTGCTGGCGTGCTTTGCAAGGAGAGCAGCGCGCCAAGGTGTGTTGCGCCAGCCCTGGAAGCCGTTTGCGGGGTCAGCAGAGTGCGACACGCCTGCTGTACAGCCGCGTCCACGATGCCAAAGCAGAGACTGGTTGAGGAGTTCGCCAGGCCAGGAGTGGCCGCCAGCTGCCCGCAAGTGTTGACACATATTGTGGCCAAAGGTGAAGAAGGGCCCGGGGGAGGTTCGCGCAGCATCCCATCGGGACCTTCTTCTGTTTGCGTCGACGCGTCCTTCGGTGATACCGGTTTGCGTGCTGGTTGCTCCATAGCCGCATGGTCCACTTGCGGCTGATGCGTCTGCAGCAGAGGTTAAACGAAACCATCATGGGCGGACTGCGAGAGGGGACGCAGCGGGCATAATGCCAAATGCACCTCCAAGATTTGACGAAGCGCCTGAACAAGTGTAAATGCTTCATCGAGTGACTCCTTTAGCCTCGACGGTTGGGACTGGTCCACATGCAGTTGAGTGAACAGTGCCATGCTCTTTTCAAGTCTCTCAACCTTCCTGAAGGGTTAAGGCAGGTTCTGTGTCCAGTATATAACGTCTAAAGATTGGAAAGGCTCACGGCCGATGTTCCAGCGTTGATAAGCCTAAGCCCTTTTGTCATGGCCGGCTAGCAATATCCAGTCAAAGTGTAGACGTGGATATGAAAATGGAGAGGGTTACCACACCACGCAGTTATTCGTTCATGCACCTGGGCATTTCATGCACCCGTGGCCCGTGCAGCCCTGTAACCCATATTTGTCGGTGCCGCGGAATCCAAAATCCACGCTGCGACACCTTTGCTACAAAGATCGTGTAAGATCGAGTGCAAAGTAAATTTTACTCCTAATTGCTACTGTATGCTAAATGGTGGTTCAACGAAGAAGTACCCAGCGCTGCCACAATTGTCAAGTCCAACAAGGATGTCGCGGCCTGTCCTAAACGTGCTTCTTTTATCTAGGCTTCCCATATATAACCAGCTTCACCTCGAGGAGGCTTTGTTGCGGGCTACCAAGGATAATTGGCTCATCGTCAATGACGGGGCCTTTGATCCAGCGATAGTGGTGGGCATCTCGGGGTGAGCAAAATCTCCGGGGGCATGTTATCTCTTCAGTGCATCGCCATCGCACACACCCGGTCGCCATAGCGGATGTACATCACCCCGCCGTGCATGACCCTTCTGAAGATGTCTAGAACAGAGTTAACGGGCGTGCAACGCCCAATTCCGGACATCGGCTACTCTAACCTTGCCCATGATCATGCCCTGTCCCTTCGACTCGCCCGCTCACTTGTCACATCAGGGGCCACATGGTACCATCCCTGCCTTGCCGCTGCTGCCGGTCCCCTCTCACGCAGCCGCCCGCCACAGCTAATCGACTGTGAGTTATCTCTACGGCACGGGATACAGGCCATCCGACGCTTTACAGGCGGCGGTACGGTGGTGGTTGACCACGACACGTTGTTTTCAACCCTCATCATGCAGGCGAGTGCAAGTGGGGAACAGGATACCCTGAGGAAAGGACTTCACCATCGCCTCAAGGGAGCGCTGTTTGAGTTAGCGAGCTTGAACCCATTTTAGGATGACTGTAACTCAAAGTGAGAGTTGGGGGTTCACGCGCCTCATTTCAGCCCCTTTCCTCCTGGTATCTGCCTCAATCGGTCTGTGGTTTGTCTTAGTCCTCTCCGCACCGAGGGCTTGAGGTACTCGGAGTGGGCCAATGTGGAAGCTCCATGCGCACATCCGGACGCGGCGCTGTGTGCCATGCAACCCCTTTGTAGGGCTCCGCGCTGCCGGATGTGGATTGCTTCCCGCAGCCCATCATGGCTTGGACAGAACGCATCTACCGCCCGGCGTTTGCTGCAGCAGGTTGCCCCGATTTTGCGCTGCGAGAAAATGGTGAGCGGCGGGTTCGCAGTGTGTGCAGCACATGCGCGCGACTGCGTGGTTTGCTGCAGATTGCTTACACCTCCTCCGCTCGACTCGGCTTGGCCCTTCACTACTTTTCCCGGTTTTTGGATGCTTTCTGCCCTGAAATTGTCTCAAGCGAAGATAACAACAACAGCAACAAGTACTTTTACCTTCGTGCACGTTTCTTCCTGCTTCTCCTCCTGCAACTCCTCCTGCTCTGCTTCCTGCAACTCCTCCTGGCAGACTACATCATAGGCGATGGTCGCAAGGTTGGCGGCAATGCGCAGGCCATTACAGGCCGCCGCTGGCTGCACCACACGTCTTTTCTGTGGGACTTCGATCCGCAGCGTATGGCCCTGCTGCGCCAACCTGCCAAGGCGCCGCAGTACCGACAGGTAGGCCTAAAAAGCATGATGTTTTCACCGCGCCGGATGCCTTTCTCTTCTCTTTCTGAACTCATCCTGCGCTACATGTTGTCCGCATTCCGATTCTGCAAATCTTGGCGCCGTCTCCATCCCCTTCCTGCATCGCTAGCTACATCTAGGATGTTCTATCATGCACCGTCCCTAAGTCTTCTCTTTCCGCAGGCCCCCCTGCTGCGGACTCGACGCTTTCGCAGTTGGTGCCTTTTGGATGTTGGCAGCTGTCTCTTTTGATTTTTGCACATAATCTGGACTTCCGTCTTCCGCCTGCAGGGCCGCACCCATCTTGATTTTGTAGCACGGCTTCGAGACGTGCTTCCGATGCATGGCGGCCGGCAGCGGCTGCTGGACGCGATAGTGGGCTCGGCGATCGACATGGTGGACTTTGAAGTACAGGTGTGAACCTGGATGTCGATGGAAAACAGAACTACCGGCCTTAGCCACGCTTTCAGTGACGATTTTGCCCCCACGGTGCCGTCCTTTCCGTGCACCGGCATTGCGCTCTCACATATGTGCATGCATGCAGCATCAGCACATGAGCGCCTTGGTTATGAAAAAATCGAAGACCAAATCACAAACAAACCTCACCATTGCCGTTCACCTTGCCGCCCATGTCACGACCCTCCCATCTACAGGAGCGCACACTTGCCGAGGCTTCAGCCGCTCTGCAACAGCCACAACTACTGCTAGGCACGAAGCTGCTCGACCTTCGGCAGTTCACAACACGGAGCGATTGAATGAATCAATACTTCCTAATTGCGTCTCCTTAAATTTCCGGCCCTCAGAAGGAAACCAGAATAAATGTTATAGACGCGGAAGTCGCCTAATTGTTCCTATGGCTTCCATGTAGTGTAATGTATGTTACAGAGTGGGAGGCTTCTGGGCCGCTTTATCACATTGTCAGTTCTACGATTTATCACCTTATAGCACCATCCACCACTACCACACTGTACTTCGCCATACGAACTCTAAGTCCAAGGCGGCGGATCCAGCCTTCAGGGACCCCTCCTCATCCATTCACCCGAACACCCGAAGAGACGGAGGGTTCGGCAATCGCCACCAATCCAGCGTGCGAATCTGGTCCATCAACTGTGACCTCAACTCCACATCTCAGCAGCTAGCCATAATCTCGCGCTCCCGACTAATTCGGGGGTCTCCCCGGGAATTGATCGGGGCTTCCATGTAGCCCTAAGTACCCTTGTCCGCCATGCTAATGTCTGTGGAACTCATATAGAGTATCCTCCGTGAAGCCCATTAGGTCAGGTTAGCCGACCAACACGCATGTAAATTCATGCTGGAAATCCCAAGAGTAGGAGGCTGGGTGATAGTATAGGGGGAGGTAATGCAGGCTTGGGACGGGATGTGCGCGCATGCATGTGCATGATCAAGTGGCGACTATGATATCACCGATGTATAGCGTTAGAAGCATCAGCAGCCAAAACGCGAATGCGTGCGTGTACCGTGATTAAGGTACACGTGGCTGCCGCTATACGTCTGGTTAGGGGACATTTACAAGTGCAGCACGAGCGACTCATGGAATGGCAGGCATTACCATACTATATCGTGTCGTGTGGTCCCTGTTCAGTTCAAGCTGCGAATGGTAGACCGACCGCCTAGGTGTTCCATTTCCGTTAGGAATGCCGTTGGGCTGTGGTCCTTGCTAAAAGTACCAGCAACCGAACTCGCTGCAACCAGAAAGGCGCGCGCACACTAGCATCAACCACGGTGCGTGCTCGGGTATGTCGATTTCGTGCGTGTTTTGGTGTCCAGGTGCAGCCGGTCGGCACAGGACATGGCACGAGAAGCGCCGCAGGCGGGTGCACCCTGAACCAGCCTGAACAATACCCTACAGTTCTGTACGGTATCAAAAGAAAAGCGCGGCGTGCCACTCCGTCCTCTTTTTCACCACTTTTATGCTCATTGATTCGTTTGTAAAGGTTCCTCCCAGGCAGTCACTGTCCTGATTGCTTACCCGTAGCTGCAGCTGTCATGCAGCCTGCAGTGGAGCTGAATACAACAGCATACGAGTTTTTCATTGATCCTCTATTGGTTACCATATAATGTGAGCAGGGGTTGTGTCTAGCCGCCCTGCTCTCTCCCGGCCCTGGGGTAGCCGCACCTGCTGCACCCCGGCGGCTGTTCGCCCAGAGCTTCTAACCCGCCAGCTCTCATCCACGTATGTGTGTGTTACATGGTCGCGTGTAACACACACACAAACACGCGCGGTACGGTGTATGAAAATGTATTGCAAATCTCAAACGGCGGTGCTCGCTCAGCTGGGTCAGGGACCCAGATGAGCACAGGTTTGGCAATTGCCGACAAATACAACAAGTGCAGCGCTGCTGGGGCTGAATGTAACGAAGAGGTACGCAATCGCTAGCCCGTCATGAGCATGCACGTGGCACTGCAGGTCCCCATCCCGTCAGAGACCGGAAGTGTGACGTGCAACACGACCAGTTACAGGATCGCCCCTCTGGCACGCTGCGTGCTCCCTATCTTACCGTCCTCACACCGCTGGCGCCGCATTCATGGTGCGTCCTTGCCCACGGCTTCATTCCTAAGAGCAATACTTCACCACCAGCTCCCGCCGCACTCTCCCGGCCAGGGAGCCCTACACCTGCCTCTGCAAGGAGCAAGATGCAAGTCAAGTATGTGTCGCACATCGCATAGGTTAGGTATATTAGGTTTGTACAAGCAGCAACGAACAGCCGCCTTCGCCGCTTTAGCGTGCAAGTTGATGCGTCGATCGTGAACATGCCTAGGCCTCGGTGCTTGGGAGGGGGGCTAGGGTCCTTGTTGGGATTTTATGTCGCAGGAGCAGCATTACAATAAGGATGGCTGATGCGAGGCGTGAAAACGCATAGTGCAAAGGGCCCAACCTCCCAAGTGACTCCGACCCAATGGGATTGAAGCCTTTCCACCAAGTTCATCTATAGTTCCTTGCGGACAAATGGGGCAGCGCACGAAGGTTCGCACCAGAGTGATCATCTCTGGTCGCGCAAGTCCGTGTCTGTCCTTCGACCATGTTGGGCATCTGCATCCATCCACGAGGAGGGCGCGTCCGTGATTTGTTGGCAGGCAGCCGGATTCGAGGCCGATCGCGAACTCGCCGTGCATACACCCCTCCACAATCTGCAGCAACCATCGCCACCGCCACCAGCTGGATCGTCCATTTCACCAGTGACCTTTTAACAATTTGCGTTGCAGTGTCCAGTTGTTTTGGGAAAAGCTGCGGCGTTCACCGTTGGTCATCTAATCATTTGCCTTGGTCTTATACCAAATTGACCCACCATCGGGCGACTGACCACCTCGAACTGGATTTGCTTAGGCCTGGTCCCGGCACGGGCCCCGAATTTTCCATACTTACCTGGCCCGCTTCTCGAGGTGGTCAACATGGCCTCGGTTGTATGATCGGTCTTCGCCTTGCACTATGCGAGGGCCTTTCGTAGTCGGCCCCTCGGGTGTCCGGCAGGGCTAAATTTTTGATAGGCTGAGGATCCGCGCAACGCGCGACCTCGGCGCCCACTAAATATAATGTTGTTATGTCATGGAGAGTCACGATGATGTAGCGGGAGAGCGAGGTGTTTAAGCGATTGCAATGAGGAGAAAAATGTCACAGAGTGCAGGAAGGAAGTCTGATTCAGGTGGTATTTCTGGGCCAACTCTAAAACCTTGAAATCTTTGTTGCTGAAAAGTTAATCCTTCAGTGGACCTGACCGTATCACAGGGCCCTGTTACGGCATCACCATTCCTTTCATTTTGCTGGACTGTCCGACGTACGACAAAATCAGATATGATATGGATTTCCCGTTCCGAGCATATGAAGGACACTATGAAGTGGGAACCTGAACGTCTGGCAAGGATGCTGAAACGTATATGGTCCCAACGCAACTCTATCGTTCCCTTTGGTCGTTAGTATCCTTTATCACTTGCTTTGCCTGAAGTGCGAGGTCGGATGGTGCTTATCTGGCAGCCCTCGAGCCCTCGGTTCGTATTGGGCGGTTTGCAGATAGGGGGAACGCACCCCGCGACCATGTAACACCCCCCACACACAGACACCTCTATAAATCCAATATACGCCAATACACAGCTCCGTAATTCCAATCCTACAGCCGCTTTTGCTCCCAGTTGGCTCAGTGCCCTGTGGCTCAGTGCCCTGCATCCAGCAAAAACTCCGCCGTGATGACGTTTCTTCGACGTTTCTCCGTCGCGCTACATATGCCGTTGCCGTTGTTCTTGGTATAAAACTGCCGGCAACAGCTATATACCCGTCGCAGCCGGCGTGCGTGATCAGAAGCATCGGCTTCATCTTGGAGCCGTTGACCCAGCGCGTCCTGGCAAGTATGACGTCCTAGCAGAACCCCGACACGCAGCTACGACACATGCGACACATATCCTGGCGTGGAGGTGCATCTCCATTTACACGACTTACTACTACGTACTTGACGATGAGCACTGCACACCATCATGACGACGACATTTGTAGGATTCTCAAACGGACATAAAACAGTGGAACACGACCGAAGACGATTCCCGGCCCGTTGCGCCGCCGCGAAACACGCACGTCGTTCCCCCGGTCGTGAGTTGGCTTTGTGAATCCGCTAAGGCGGCACCATTAATGGAGGACACGACAGTTCGAACGCAAAATGATGCGCCGTCAACTGTTTGTGCGTCATTAGGGGATATAGCGCAGAGGAGATCTACCTCCTATGTGGCCAAGATAGGATACACATGTATATACATGCACGCGTTACTGTACGGGAATGTAAAAACGCACGAATAAAGCAGTGTACGACGGGCAGATACTGCTACCAGCAGCACGTGACTGCGACGTACTGCTGGCCCTATTGCTACATACCGGTCGTCAATGTGATATGCACAAGCCTTCTGATGCCTTCTGATGGGCATGCTACGCAACAGGCGGCAACGCACTTCGCACTTCGCATGCTGAAAATCATGCAGTACAGCCAAAGCACGTCGCTGAACACAGTGCAACACAACACTATACATCACCACACGCAGACACCTCGCCGTACAAACCAAAGCTCTCACATCACATCACCCGATGGGGTGCACAACATTACACAGCACGACGCGGTTTGTTGGATACGGCACTTAGCGGCTCCGACAACGCCGACAATTAGAAAAGATGTACATGAGTATAATAACGTGGCTGCACGCTCTGCACAGGCTGCTGGCGTTGGCTAGCTCGCTATCAGGGAGACACATATAGCCCTCGGGTGAATGAGAGAAATTAAATGAAGGGCGAAAAATGATTCAGGGCTCAGGCTGGTTGCAAGATGCCCCGAGCCTCTGGGGCTTTACATTAATAACGCCTGTTGGCTTTAGCCGCCACCTCTCACGGTTAATATCACAACTGCCACCGACGTACGGCAATCGCAATCCTCCCTTTGACGCCCACGCACGTCATGTAACATGAATAAAAAGGTCAAGTGGAATATCCAAGTTCTCTCTTCGATATACGCCTCCGTCCGGCTTTTCAGCCTCAAGCTCTACAACCGTTTGATCGTCCTCCTTGGCTGGCCAGCCACAGGCTATCCTCGATACGGCCGGCTAGCCCTGGCACGTGCTGCGCCGCGCGCTAAGGCACTTGACAAGGGAGCACAGGGAATATCTCAGGCAGCCGGGGGACGGCTACGGTACCTGCAGCCGAAGCTTGCAGCCGCCTAGGAGTGGAGGTTGCGGAGGAGGTTGTGGAGGTTGCGGAGGCTGCGGGGACTGCAGGGGCAGCAGCGCCTGAGGATGGGGATGGAGCCGCTCTCTGTGCACTGGAAAGGGCTGAGCTTGCCAGCAATGCAGCGGCTGCAGCATCGTCAGTACCTGGCCCTGACGGGCGCATCACCGCTGGAGCGAGAGTCCCCGCCGTCCCCGCCTGCCCTCCTTCACAGTTGCCTCGTGCTAATGCTGATGATGTGGCGGCAGCAGCCCGCCTCCGCAGCAATGCCCGGCGTCCGGCTGTGGACGCGCAGCTTTGCGCGTAGTTGTGGCCCTCAGGTCCCGCAACCAACATCCAGTCGGTTGCGGCGGAGGGCACCAAAGGAAAGGAGGTCTGCCGCGTCAACGCTGTCGAACGAGCATTGCGGGCGGTTTCACCTTGAGGTGACGCCAGCAGCGTTGACTCCAAGTCCGATGATGCAAAGAGACTGTCCAACACGGCGCGTCCGACAGGCTCCCTTCCTGGAGCGCCACTGCTGCCACCGCCGGCGCTGTTGCGGCTGAAGAGACGTCCTAATGTGGGGGCCTGTTCATTCTGCTGTTGCGGCGGCGGCAGTGCCGCCGCCACCACCGCCGCCGCGCTGTTGCTGCTGCTGTTGCTGTTGCTGCTGTTGCTGCTGTTGCTAGCGGCGGTGCCAGTTGTGAAGTTAGTGGGCGGACTGGATCCTGCGATGCTGCTGCTGGCAGCTATTAAGGACATCAGGAGCGTGGACACTCGCCGCCTCATTGCAGTGGAACTTCCGTCGGGGTTCTTCAGGGCCCCTACCGGCGCGGCCGCAGCACCCAGCGCCGCCGCGGACGCAGCAGACTCTCCGGTGCGCAGCGGCGGCGGCGGCAGCAGCAGGTCCGGGGGCTCGCCCCGGGACTCATCGGGCATCTGGAAGTCGTACGCCGCCACGGAGGCGGCGTGGCGCTGGCGGTTCGACAGCTGGTTGTGAGATGCAATGAGGGAGCGTTTGGAGGCGCTGCTGCCGTCTGCATAGACCGAGCGACCACTGATGCTTTCCGTTGATGCCGTCAGCATGGAAAGCGGCAGCAACAGACCTAGCTGCTGCTGGCCGGATGGCACGCCCTGTGTTTTACCCGCCGGGGCTAGGGACGACGACGCGGCGTTGCCGATTGTCCCAGACCGACCATCCGAGCTGCGGCCTTCCCGGCCCGCAGGGACGCTGCCCAGGAGGAGGGTGCCGCTGCGTCCGCTCATGCTCACCCTGTCCATGCCGATGCTCATTCCCACGGTGGCCGCTACCGTGTCGTGCGGCGGCTGGAGACCGTCCCACTCTCCCTCGAGCCAACGCACCCGGTCCTCTAGCACCACGGCTTGCTGACAGACCTCCTCTGTACGGTCTGTTCCAAAGAGAGCCAAAGCAGTAGCAGGCGGAAAAAAGTCAACTGAAAGCTAATGTGACTCGAAAGCGAACGTGATTGCACTCGTAGAGAAAGAGGAGGAGAGAGAGAGAGAGAGAGAGAGAGAGAGAGAAAGAGAGACATAGAGAGAGGGACTTAGCTCTTAGAGAGGGGTCCAACCATACCGACCGATCAACATCAACGACACATTACCGGAAGCAGAGCACGCGGAACTGCCATAAGGAAAAGCCGTTCCGCAAGGGCAGCGGCATCACAGCAATATGAGCTTTGGTTGCGATCAAACCGATCCCGCTCACGTCTTCAGTTCCGTAAAACGCGCAGCCACCTTCCCAAGGCAAGGCGGCTGAGGAAGTGTGGGGATGGGGGACCCTCGGGCCTAACCCGAAGCGGGCAAGTAACTCCTAATTACTCACTTGCGAGCCCCTTGAGCATGTCAAGCACCCGCTGCAAGGTGGCATCCGTTTGGGAGCGCAGCTGGGCCACCATGCTGTCGATTTCTTTTTGCATGGCAGCTCGGATAGCAGGAAACTGCAATTGTCAAGGAGGGGGTGAAGCCTATGGCTCAGGTGGATGGTGGTTAACGGATACACTATCCCGCCGGGACAGGGGAGTTGGTGCTCGCCTCGATCCATTGCAACCTGCCGCCACGGCCTGCCCCATTTCGACCTGCCCCAACACCACACCACGACACATAGTGCAACACGCCCCTCTCCGGTATAGCACGTGGCGCTCCACAAATTGTACGGCATGATACACAGCATTATTTACATTTACATATTTACTTCAAGATGTGTACTTCAAGAGTTTTCAAATTGATACACGGCACGATGCAACAACATGAAATGCACCGTGCGACTCACCCACCATGAGCGGGTTCTCCATGATCATCGCCGAATGCGCCTGGGACTCCTCAAGCTGCTGCCGTACCGCCGCCAGCTGCTGCTCTAGCACCGCCACCCGTATGTCACCGCCGCCGCCGCTGCCGCCGCCTCCGCCTCCGCTGCTGCTGCCGAAATTCCCCGTTCTGTCCTCCACCCAGCCCTGCTGCTGAATGACTCGCTCGCGGGAGAAGAAGCCGGTGTCTGAAGGCACTCTGCCGCAGCTGGAGATGGCCCCAATATGAGAGGCAGAGTTCCTACAGGCTGGAAGTCCCCCTCGGCGGTTAGCGACGGTTGGGCTCCAGGAGTGGTTCTTACGTGCGGCCGCGGGAACGCATGCTTCTTCTGCGTCCTCCTCTTCGTCCGTCGCCGATGCTTCCAGAGGGACCCGAGCTCGGTGGCGCGACCCGGTCCTATTCAATGGCGCCATTTTCGCTGAATCATCTCTCTCAACTAGCGCAGGGTCCAGGCCGATAAAAGGCTGCGGGGCCAGCACCAGCAGCGGATGAGGCGCAAAGGCATCTCCCCCCGAGGTTAATGAGCAGGTGGAGGAGCGGCGGCCGCCGGCGACGCGGCGACCGTCCAGAGCCGGCGCTCTGTCGGCATTGGGGTCTAAGGGGCCCTCCTGTGCGCTGGTAATAAAACGCCCGATCGCGCCGCCGCTGCCGCCGTTGCCGCTGACGTCGTCATCACAGTCCATCGCTGAGAGCGCCTCTTGGAGGCCGCGTCGAAGGCGGCTATGGTACGGCAGCGCTAAAGGTGAGCGGGAATTTGAGTGGGAATGTGGGTTTAGTTGAGGAGAGTGTAATTTTTTGCTAATAGCGGCGACCGCAGAGGCGACACTGTTGGGTAAGGGTGAGGAGATCAGTGGACGGCTGGAGTGCACCGAAAGGTCTCCAGTTCTGTTCCCGGCAAACCCGCCAGTGCTTTTTTGTTGGCTTTTAGTAGACAATCCCGTAGCGCTCCGTTCGAATCCCGTAGCACTCCGTCGTTGTTTGTTACCGAATCCAGTTGCGCTCCTGCGCTGGCTGTTCTTGCTGTTTGATAACGGTGTCACCGCCGCTGATGTAACAGTAGCCGCCGATGCTACAGGCCCCACTGCTGCGCGTGAAAGTGCGGGTGGCTCAACTGGACTAAGATAATGAGTGCTAGCTGACGGTTGTCGTTTGTACGGCATCACGTATGGTACGGAAGGCCGTACGGCAGACATTCGATCATCCGATGCTGCTGGCTGCGGCTCGGCACCACAGCTCCCATGCCTGTTGGCGAACATTGCCGAGAAGAGGGAGTCCACTGAAGAGTCACTCCATCTCCAGCTGCGTCTCCGCCCTCCAATAGACCCCTCGGAGGAGGTGCTCGGTTGTGTAAGGCCCGGCTCAGTGGACTCGCACAAGGGCCCGCCACAGGATGCGGCACCTGCCATAATATGACGAGCATGCTTCGGCTGAGTGGAAAGGCTTGTGATAAGGCACGCAAGGCGAATCTGATCCCGCTGCTGCTGCTGCTGCTGTTGTTGTTGTTGTTGTTGATGGGGTGTTACACTGTGGGCGGCTCGCTGTTGTTGTTGTTGTTGTTGTTGTTGTTGTTGATGTTGTTGTTGTTGTTCTGGTGGTGGTGGAGGTGGCAGGCAACTTGATAGGCCGCTGGTAGTGCTGGCAAGTCCAGCTGCTGGCTCCCGGGTCGCGGGCAACGCTGTCATGGCACACTGCTGATGATGACCGCGGCTGCAAGCCCAGCTGGTCGGCTGCGTCGGCTGCTGTTGCCGCTGCGGCTGCGGCTCAGCTGTTAGTACACGGTCTTCAACCGCACGGGAATGCAGTTGCTGATCCTGCTGGACATTGCCAGAAGCGACGAGAAACGCATTCGCTTTCATGTTATGCAAGATCTGTTGCTGCTGTTGTTGCTGCCCCAGCTGCTGCAGCTGCTGTTGTTGCTGCTCGTCTTCGATGATGCTGGCAGCAGCGGCCAGTAGCCAGCCCGCGGGGCCCACCTCGTGGTCCTCCAGCTGCACCCGGGCCCGGCTCTTGACCGCGTGGGCACTCTCAGGAAAGTCCCTCATTGCGTCCTACGTACATACGCATATACATACCGACGATGCTATTCTCTATTAGTACATACAGACGGCAAAGTTTCCCATCCGATCCAGGCAGACGGACAGATCGACAGACGGACAGACGAGCATACAGGCAATGGGCGGGGGCCATCCAACTGCTGCTCCTGCCATTTCCACATGAGGGGGCCGAATTCTCCCGATGGGCAGAATATTCTTTTTTGTTTACTTGGAAGTCATTTTCCTCGCTTGCGTGAAAACAGCTCATCATACTTACGTGCAAGTCGCTCTTACTGAGGACCATGACGTCCGTCGGGCGAAGCGCAACGGCCATGTGCGGCCGCGGCAGGTTGGAGGTCATGACCCCCAGCTCCCCGAAGTGGTCACCGTCGGTCAGCAGCGCGGTCATGCAGCCGTCTGACGGACCCACAAGCGCCACGGCACCGCGCCAGATGACGAACATCTCGTGCCCTACACTACCCTCTTCGTAAATGACGGCACGTGGCATAAACAAAATGAGGCGCAGCTGCCGTGCGAGCCTCCAGATGAAGGGCTGTTCGCAAACGGTAAACAACTGGACCTGCAGGTGTTGCGGGTTGCGTAATAAAAAGGGTAATTAGGCGGGTGAAATGCATGGGGCGGGTAATTAGGCGGGTGATAGGTTTCCTTACGGTTTCATCAAACGTTCTGTCTATGTCCATGTTCCTGTCCATGCAAGAAGCTTGTAGCTACTGCAAATCTATCATAGGTCGGCAGTAGCAGAAACAAGTGGCAGCATCGATCGGCATGAATGACATCGCACCTCGCCCATCCATGATAAGCAGGTTGGGCGTGTGCGTGAATGCATATATGCGCTGATAACAACAATATTATATTACAGGCAGAAACAGATAAGCCAGATAGTGCCTACATATGCCCTTTTGGAGCACATCAGGGCGACGGGTGACTTCTCTGAGCAGTTAGTTCATCATCAATACTGCGGTGTTTAGCACCGTGTTCAAAAAGAAGGGTGACAACGCGGTTATGGGCCATTCGGGGGGCCATAGCGGTTGGCGGGGCGTTGGCGAAATGCTACAAGGCTTCTATTGTCCTCCGAAGGTCGGTCCGAACAGGGCGGGACGTTGAGCTCACGCTGGTTTCATACATACATACATACACCTCACACGGCAGCAGGGACCTACCCGTGTCAGCAATGGCTCAAACACTGACGAGAGCACCTCGGCATGCAAGGCGGCGGGCAGCTCAGACAGGAAATTAACACCTTCGGGGCCTGGAGGGGCGAACGGAGTGGCATGCGAGGTCGGAGGATGGGCAGTAAAGTAGGTGTTGGGGTTGGTGTTGGTGTTTTTCTTGTGTGCGTCTCTCTGGTTCCATATATGTACGCTGTGTGTATGTCTGTGTATGTATGCGCCTGTTTCCGTGTGTATGTCCATGCATGTGCATGTGCATGTGCATGTGCATGTATGTACGTGATGCATTCGCATATTGGACCCACATTTCGACACACCTGCTCCACTCTACAGCTGCGGACTATATTCCTGGCCAGGCATGGTATTGTGTGAATGTGGTAAGACTCACCGGGGTGATCATGCTGTACCATGTGCGAGAAGTACGCCTGGACTTTGGCGCGGACTGAATCGTTGGCGCGTGCTCCAGTGTACCTCAGCGCGTCTTGTAGCATTATGGCCCTCTGCTTGTGGCGCGAGGCCATGCCCCACATATTACCCACCAGAAGCGTCATACTGCTCACCTGGGCACGGGCATGGATGGGTCGTTGGTTGGGGTTGGGTGCATGCGTGGGTTGGTTGTTGGTTGGTTGTTGGGCCGCTGGTTTCGTTGATACTTTGCTTGGCGTTGGGTCCATATATAGATACCCCCATGCATCACATATATAGCGGAAAATAATAAAAAAATATTTAACACGTTAGGCAAGAACAAGCAATGCCCAAGTACTCGTTCTAGAGCGTCACACTTAATGTACGGAGCCACGCAACCGGATGGCACCTGTTGGGGGGTTGTTAGTTGATGCAGCGGCAGTTGCTGCTGCTGCTGCATGTGCACATCTGCTAGCAGCTAGCCGCCTCCGCTTCCGGGCCCCAGCCATATCATAAACTCTCCGCAGAAAGACAGCAGATTGGTCGTATCTCCCGTCCTTACTACGGACTACTGATGGCTGCTGCGTCCCTCGTCGACTGCAGCACCGGGCCAGACGACACAACAACTACCCACAACACCGTGGAACGGATGGGATTACTTACGACAACGGCGTATATGCAAGCACCCATGGAGAGCAGCGCGATGGAAAAGATGCGCTCAACGTTGTTATATGTGTCGGGGCGGTCACCGAGGATCATCAGGAAGGACTTGTAAAACGCATGTTGGTACCTTTCCCATTCAGTCCACGATATACAGTGGACGTTGAACATCCACGGCCGCCCTGCATGATGCATCCAGGTTGGCGCGCGCAGCAGCAGTACAGTATATTGGATGCGTATACTGACGTGTATGTGACGTGTTTATATGATGCAACGCATCCAAGTAATAGGAAGATACCAGCAGCTCGACGAATGTACTGTAGCAGTTGCCAAGACTAGATAGTTAAAGCAATCGAATGCTTTCCAAAACATGTTGTACGCTTAAGATAGAGGTCTATCTACTCCATTTCCAACCTAGCTATTTAAGATCGGGGCGCCAAGCCCCTTGCTTTTCCATTTGCATGTGCACTTGCGGGATATACAGATAGGCAGGCGGCTGGCAGAGGTTAAGGCCTGACATTTGCTCCCGGCCGACCCGGGTTCAAATCCGCCTACCGACTCCTCGGGTGTTATAGGCAGGCGGCTGGCAGAGGATAAGGCCTGACTTCTGCTCCCAGTCGACCCAGTCGACCCGGGTTCAAATCCGCCTGCCGGCTCCTCGGGTGTTTGAGGAGTGATGAAATGGGAGGTGGCCCCCCATCTTATGGACGGTGTAGGACGTGATAATATCAACTTGCGAGCTGACCAGGAACTAAGTTGATGCGCCGTTGATCCGCTAGATTTGGTTGGATGCTGGTGGTGAGTTGCCGAACCCAACGAATACATTCTGAAGTCGGATGGGGTGACGGATTAGGGTGCCCCTCTAGCAGGGGAGAGCAGGGACTGCCCCGGGAAAGGGGGCCGCTGGCGAAGTTAACCACCCTGTAACAACATACATACAGTAGCATCATCATCACTACCTACTCTCTCTATTGCATCGATCACACCGTCGATCCACCGCCGTTTCACCGCCGCTGTGCGTCATAGCAAGCACACACGCATCAGCCGTATCTCTTCAGATACTACTCAGAACCGTGATAATTTGCTTGTTTTATCACTAATTAAACGGCCGCCGTTCACCACAGAAAAGTATGGGTTTATAGGGCTACATAAATTTAAGCGGCTAATCGCGCCCATTTTCTGTTGAAAGGCGGTTTAGAGCACATGGATTTAGATATACAACGAGAAATCAAGGTTGGCGGAGGGGATTCAATCGTTCAATCCAGCCGATAAGCGATTTTGCAGCGACTTGACCAATTGGAATGGCTAAGGGTGAATAAATAAAAAAAATCAGGGATTACAACCAACAATTATCATATAATCTTATCACCAGGGGGCCCAAATAACGACCTGAAATAGGTATGGCGGTCTGGCTTCTTAAACAATAACAACGGGTGCAGCGACGCAGGTAGTACCTGGAACCTGAATGTAAAGGTAGTACCAGAGGCAGGCCGCCCAGTGCGTCACCAGCAGCATGATGAGCACCAGCCGTGCCACGCTAGCAAGGTTCTCGTATCTCACGGGTGTCAAAATGGTGAGGTGCCTGCGCGCATGCCAAGGTAGGGAAGGCCACAACAAGTAATCAGGGCCGCCCTAGGAGCGAGGCGCGCACCGTAGGGTGATGTGTGTATATCCGTAGCGACACTTGCATGCATTACTATTATAACCTCCCCTGCTGTGCATGTGACCCGCTGTTTATCTGAGGGATCTGTTTGTCCTAGCGCGCAAAGATTGTTCAACAAATCAACGCTGCCCTGGTTCGATTCCAATCTGAATAATCCTGCGCGCATGCGTTGCGTGGTGTCATACCACGACTTCAGAAAAGTACCGTTCGGTGGATGCAGATCTCCCGTGATAAGCCCAGGACACTACACGTGGGTGGGACTTCCTTTGTCCCGGCTCATCCGTGAGGCCGAACCCTGGTTGCAAGCAAAACCCTAGGCAAGCAGAATTTATACGGTCCTATATGCACAGTCATCAGGCCTCCTCAAGGAGCTAAGCCTGGCTTACCGCATGAGCAGGAACAGGCGAGGCAGTTTCAGGATGCTTAGCCAGTAGAGGTTCGTCGTGGCGCTCCCGGTATGGGTGAATCCTAGCACCACTTCAACCGGGAGTGCCGACAGGAAGTCCGCAAAAAACATACCGCGGGTGGTGTATTGCACGGCAATCAACCGTGGCGTCCGCACCACCTCACCTCGCTCCGTCATGTACGCAGTCCTACAGTACACACGAGCAGTCACGTACACCATCCATCCAAGTATTATAGGTGGAATGATACCGCCCCTTTGGCACTGTATGTCCTGCCTGTCTGAATTTCTGGCTGACTGCGCGACTAGGAAAGGTATGATGCTTAGTGCATCTGTAGTAGCTGTAGATAGTACAGCACACGTAGTATCGTCGATAGATACGCGCGTGAAGGTGCTCCGGCAGATCTATGTAAAGAGGCCGTTTCAGCGGCCAGCTACTTCAGCACTTCGCACAGCAAATAAAAATATGAATAATAAAAGGGCGTTTCATCAGTTGGGCGCTAACCCAAGGACTAGCTCGAAGGTGTGGTTACCATACTAAGAACTACTAATTACATGCGGGTCTGCAGTTGTGTGCATTTATATATAGGCAACAGCGGGAGCATAACAACACGTAATAACCACATACTCCCCCATAGCATCTCCCTTCCACCCGCTTGCCTGAAGTTGACAGCGATGTCGAAGCTGCGCAAGCCGTTGGACGCCGGCAAGGATGGGATGGGATGGGAACGCCAGCCAGCCAGCCAGCCGGAAGGGATAAGACCAGGGATAAGACCGTGTAGTAGCTGATACACAGTACGGCACACATAACGTCTACAATACGCGCTAAGCGCGTCCACCGGCATCTCGATTCAGCGGCCAGCTACTACAGACCGACGTACAGCACATAAATTTCCAATTGACAGGCTCGTCAATCGTCCAAGTTATTAGATATATACGACCGAATTCTACGTATGGCTGGCTAGATCAATGGACACTTCCAAGCACCTGCTGTATAAACTTGTGTAAAATCGTATTAGGCGTGCCACAGGACATACATACATGGTGACATTTTTTATACAACAATGGCTCGAAGGCGTTACCTGCTTTCCTCTCGCGCGCAAACACACCCGGCCGCGTGCAGGGCCAGTATTATTACTAGTCGTGCATGTGCTCCCTTCTTTCTCCGTTCCCGGGGGATCTCTCCGTGGGATCCCCCTGTCCTTCTTCTGACGGGACGTTTTTCTTCTACCTAAAACCGATCGGCGGATGTCAGATCCCGCGGTTCAACACCCACCGAGGCCGGGTGACACTGGCCTACTGGCCAGAATGTGTTAGAACCCATAGAGTTACAAGTTAAAGTTAACTTACAATTAGTTACAACTAGTAACTTGTAACTTTAACTTGTAACTTTAACTTGTAACTTTAACTTTAACTTGTAACTTGTTAGAACCCATAAAAGTGACCTGAAGTGACCTACCCTGAGGGCGTGCGTGCGCAGTTACAAAAGGACGCGCATACGTACCTAAAAGATGCGAATGTTATGATACCCATGACATGCGCGAAAATCACTCGTCGGAAGGAGTGAAAGGCGATCATCAGCGGCACAGCGACGGCAGTGTACAGCATCAACAGCAGCGTCCAGATGGACCACCTGAAGTAGCAGCACGCGTACGGCACCGTAAACGTCGTAAATTCAGTAGGCGAGAGGCTTATCGTTAATAATACAAGCATGCAGACAGGCTGCCGCGCGGCGCATGCCGCGCGGGCGTGGACCTGTCTTGTCAAAGCGTGCAGATGTCTCTCTCAACGCAGAGGCATGGAACGTACAGGCGCTGTGTCCTTAGTTGTGCGATCTATCTGGGACAGATGCCGTACGGAGAACCGTACTGTGCGGATGCCGACGGGGCGGCATGCGTACGGTTCCTGGTCTTGGAAATGCAACCAGGCAGCGACTTAGCAGCCGAGCAGCATGTATACAGGGTACCCAGTTCACTGCCATTACCATCCAAGCCAGCTGAGTCTTTCACGAGACCTCATTCGTTTGCACCTTAACCTGCTACAACTCAACAATTGTTCCGCCCCCAGGCAAATAACGCCTTGGGAATGGTCCCGACACGTTGGCGCCCACCTAATGAGTTGCACAGCGCCCTCCTTGTAATGGCGCCTGCAGCCTGTTACCGGCGATTCTGAGCCAGTAATAATCCTGTTTCAAAATCCATGTGAAGGACTCATAAATGCCTAGCCATGTTCAGGCGTGTCCTGCGTTGGCTTTATGTGTGCGCTTAAGAGTGGAGATCGCTCTTCGTACCCGCTGCCGTTCGTACAACCACTACAGCGCCGGGGTTTCGTTTTCCACTCCGACCTTAAGCCGACATAGGCAACCCAAACGGTCGCGTTCCCAAGTCATCACTGCTGCATCACACGTATGTTATCGCAGCTTTAATCCTATCCGTGTAAACTTTGGACTTTTGTAAACTTGTATGTAAGCGAAATTAGCTGAAGCATTGAAGCGGGACCTAGCATCGCTCTCATTTGGAAAGCGGGGCGAGTGAGTCACATCTTACGTACCCAATCCTGACCGAGTCTGTCGGTAGCATGACCGGCAAAGCCGCATCCATAAGATACTCGAGATGATGATGCCACGCCTGCCGACGTGACAGAAGGAATAGAGGATGCCCAACCCGGCAGGCAAGCTGTCGTAGGACCTTCGTCACCATAGAGCCTGAAGCGGAAAAGCAGATCCTATTTCATCACAGGTTGCTTGGCCCCTACATCGCTCCACCAAGCCAGCAGTGCCAAAGGAGGACCCCGAGGCTGCTGGTGAGTACAACGAAAAGGAAAGTCCCTGACACTGCAGTCTAATGTAGTATGACGCCTATCCTGATGCATGGATGTGTGCGGCTTCGGAAAGAAGTTTCGGGTATAAATTGTGAACTTTGACGACAGGGTACAATGCGAAATTGCAGACGAAACTGCATCCCATTTAAATTAATCATCATTTCGCATTGCCCAGCGCTTCAACTTATTACGTAGGCTGTCCACTGGCAATACTGGTAGTACGGACTCTTGACTGCAACTGGAGCGTGCCTTCCGCACACAGCCCCGCTTGCTTCTATGCACAGGAAATACTTGTGTGGATATTTTTTATCTTTTCTTTGCTAGGCTTTGTGCTATACAAACCTCACCTACAACTGACGTCGCCTAATGCCGACAGGCCGAACTTCGCCTTTCTGTACTACGCACCATGTTCTAACGCACGCAAATGAACACCGCTAAAACATTAACTTATGATGCGATGGATTATCCTCTGGTCTTGGCTGCTGGCTTATACTCAACTTTAAGCTGGTTACTTCAATACTTCCACGAGCATTGAATTCAATTATTCACAATATTTAAACAATATTTTGGTGGCTTTGGCGTGGGGAAATGGGTCTTACTGAGGATCCCGCCACGCGACAACCGTTGATGGCTCCGACAACCCGTGCTGACCTGTGCGGCCGCATGAGGGGCCGCGGCCGCATGCGGTCCTAACCGCTAAGGACAGTAGTTGATACTCAAGACTCGATTAATAAGTTAGTATGTTTCTGCAATGGTAAACTGCAACTTAGCCGAACATTCGAACGAAAACCCCTTTGGGGGCCCTTGTGAGCGTATGCGTTGCGAAAGCAAGGCCAGAGCCTCAGGGAAGGCTATTAGCCAATTGCACCCTCTTTATACGGGACAAGTCGTCAGCACTTTAGGTATCCGGGGCATGACTAGGTATTGTCGCTGTGGCAGGTAAACATCCGGATGCTACATTCCACCTGAGGGCTGTCTGGGGCCTCGGAAAGGGTAAGAAACTAACGAGGTCTTCCTGCCCCCAAAAAGGACGCTAGTTTTAATTTTAGACATATGTGTTAAATGGCGAGTCCATGAATTTTCACGCCAAGGTAGGAACCTCCGCAAAAAGCTAGGTCGGGCCACATAACCCAGAAACTTTTGTCAAGCCGTAGAAAAAAACTTCCCGACAGGTTTCGAACTCCATGAGCCCTTGGAATTTAGAAGATCTTGCCTGTTCAGGCATTGCAGTTCACGGCAATTTAATGCGAGCTTGCGTTAAGTAAGCTGGGTTAGTTGGGCGTAAGGCCCATTGCTTGACTGTTAGTCTAACTGTCTCGCAACGGCTCGTGTCCTCAGGGCCGTCATTTATGCGCGCGTTTGGCTGGTTAGCTTATCTTGTTTTTGTTGTTCAGCGCGCGACATACCCGTCAACTGCCTGGTGTAAATTGTTGTAATTTCGGTCAGACTTCCTGATTTTTGGATGCTGTTTTCATAGTTCGTCGTCACGATAAGCTTTGTACTACGTCTGGTCTGATTGTTAGTTGGGTCTTACCGTACGAACTTGATCTATTGGTACTATTTGTACCCTGAAGCTGTTGTAATTCCGGTCAGACTTCCTAGGCTTATGGTTGTTGTTTTTATAGCTCGTCGTCGCGATAAGCCTTGTACTACGATTGGTGTGATTGCTAGTTGGGTCTTATCGTACGAACTTGATCTATTGGTACTATTTGTAACCTGAGGCAAGACTTTTCTATCAAGCTGATTGTAACAACTATTGCTCATTGGGACTTTGGGGTGTCCTTCGAGTTTAGGGCATAGTGTCAGCTCGCTTATCCAGCTTGTGCTTAACTGGATCGTGTGTCAGCTATTTACGGCTATTTACGAATAGTCACAACAGGTTATGAGCCCCGCTTGACGTTGCGGTGGCTGCAGTGGTCGTACGCTTTGTTGAGCTCATACGCTTTAATCCCAATTTTGAGTCATACGTGATTCTGTGAGAGAATGTCCGACATTGCTGGATGGAGGGATGTGCTAATGGTCGCCAACTCGGCAGATTGGTTCATTAAGATGAAGGCCATTTTGGAGTGTGAGGACTTGGCGTCCGTTGTCAGTCAAGACTACGTTTTACCCGCCGATCCTACGGAGCGGGAAAAGGAGTTGAGGAAGATAAGGAAGGCTCGGGCGCTCATAATCCTTCGGCTTGCGTCGGTCGACCACAAGACAATCATCGAATCGACCACGGAAGCTAAGGATCTTTGGGCGGGTCTTGAGCAGTGGGCTGGACAATTGAATGAGGCCGAACTAAGTGCTGTATCCCAATCCTTCCATTCCATCGTGATGCGTAATGACGAAAAGGTGCACGACTATGTGACTCGTGCGGTTAACATGTATGAGAAGCTGAACAGATATAAAGATTTTCGCATTTCAGAGAAAAACGCGATCGTGCTAGTTGTTCGTGGCCTGCCTGACGCTCTGTACGAAACTGAGAAGAGAGTTTTCGTCACGTCCGCTTACCCGAAGAACTTCATGGAGCTAAAGGAGAAGCTCTTGGCCATGGAGGCCAATCGTCTAACTGCCAGGAGGACCGAGCCCGACATAGCGACGGCCATAGGGTTAGCTACTGGTGGCCATAGGGTTAGCTACTGGTGGACGCGGTGGCCATAGGGTTAGCTGCTTCGTTTGCGGCGGCAACCACTACGCGAGGGACTGCTCTAAGAAGGTCAGCGCTTCTGGTCCCTCAAGCTCGGGTCGCTCGCACGGTGGGTCAGAGTTGCGGTGTGATTGGTGTGGGAAGACAGGCCACCTGTCCGAAAAGTGTTATCGTAAGCGGCAGGGTTTGCCTAGGAGTGCCGAACGGAAACCGGAGGTCGTTGTGCTGACGCTGGTGGCTCGAGAGCAGCAATTCGTTCCCCAGCGGATGAGTGAGGAGGAGAGTTTAGATTACTATGTGCGTAATCCGCCTAGAAGCGCGTCCGTAGCTTTGGGATGGCCACCCTTTATCGAGAGGCTTCGAAGGGTAGTTGCACAGTATCCCGAGAACCCGTGGTGGTTGGACTCCGGCAGTAAATACCACGTTACGGGTGACCGGGGTATTCTTCATGACTCCTGTCGGATTGATTCGGATTTGTCAATCTCGATCGAGGTTGGTAATAAAAACGTGCTGCAGGCCGAGGGTTACGGTAATGTGGTGCCGACCCATGCCCCGAACATCACTGTTGAGGGAGTTTTCATGCGCCTAACTTTAAGCACAACTTGATTTCTGTTTCGGTCCTAACCAACAAGGGCTTTAGGGTTAGTTTCGAGGATATGCAGGCGATTATATCGAGGGGAGGCCTGCACATCTCTGCCACCAAATGTGCGTCTGGCCTTTACAAGTTTATGAGTAGTGCTGTACCCGCTGCCGAGTCCTCCAAGCCTGCTGAGCCTGTCATCCCTTCCTTTTCTGCAAAGGCCCTAAGTACTGAGACGGTGGAACTGTGGCACCGACGCCTTGGTCACTTAGGAACTTCAAATATGAAGAGGTTGGTGCAGGAGGGCTTGGTCAAGGGTTTAAATATTAGCGCGGCTCAATTGAGAGATTTTGAGGTTAGGACTTGCGAGCCTTGTTTGGGAAAATTCAGCCGCGATCCGTTTCCCACATCTGCAACGGTAACTAAGAGACCATTGCAGTTGGTGCATTTGGATGTCTGTGGTCCTTTACCTATGTCCTCGAGTGGCCATAGGTATTTCGTTACTCTGTTGGATAACGACACCCGGGTGTAGTCATCCAACATATGGTAAAGCGGAAAGGTTAAACCGTACTTTGTTGGATAAGGTTAGAACGATGCTTGCGGATTCTTCGGTACCTAAGAAGTTTTGGAATGAGGCTTTGAGTGTTGCCTCTTTTGTTAGAAATCGTTCACCTGTTTCGGGGAAATCAAAAACCCCGTATGAGTTGCTGACGGGTGAGACTCCTGATGTGTCTTGGTTTAAGGTATTTGGCTGCATAGCATATGTTCAGGTTGCCAGGGGTCAGGGTAGCAAGCTCGACCCAAGGGCCTGTAGAGGCACCTTTCTAGGATACGAGCCGAACACAAAGGCATATCGGATCTTAGTCGGTGATGGGCGTATTATTGTGTCTCGAAATGTCGATTTTCATGAGAATATGTTTCACTTTCGTGGCGGCAAAGGTGTTGAATTGCCAGTAAGCACTGAAGCATCTGCATCGGATTATTGGTTTGTCCCTGCTGCTGGTGCCCCTGCGGAAGAGGCAGCAGAGGCCGGCAGTGTTGTCCCTGTGGTTGCTCATGCTGCTGGTGCCCCTGCGGAAGAGGCAGGAGAGGCTGGCGTGAGTAATACAGGTGTTGCTCCCATTGTCCCTGCTGCTGGTGCCCCTGCGGGAAATGCGGATGAGGCCGGCATGGACACTGAGGAGGATCTTCCCCCTCTGTTGGAGGAAGATGAGGGGGAAGAGGATGACGAGGGAGGGTATGATGAGGGGAAGAGGAAGATGAGTTGGAGGCAGCTGAGGCGGAGGGAGAAGTTATAGTTGCTAGTGGAGCTAGTACCTCCGCCCCCCCTGCTGCCACGCGTTCATCCACTAGGACTAAACAGCCTAATTCCCTTTTCAAGGATTATGTTATGATAGCCAAAGGGATAGATTCTCTAGAGCCTAAATCTCTTGCCGAGGCAAAGGCACGTGCAGATTGGCCTCAGTGGAAGGCGGCCATGGATGAGGAGATGAAATCGTTGCTGGAAAATCGCACCTGGGAGCTTGAGGAGTTACCTAGGGATGCTAAAAAGATTGGTTTGAAATGGGTTTATAAAGTTAAGCGGGATGCAAGCGGGAATATTGAGCGTTATAAGGCTCGCCTGGTAGCCAAGGGTTTCACGCAACAGAAGGATGTGAATTTTGCGGAGGTCTTTTCACCGGTTGGCAAGTATGCCAGTTTTCGTGCGTTGCTTGCTGTTGTGGCGGATTGAGATCTCGAGCTACATCAGCTCGACATGAAAACCGCTTTCTTGAACGGTGTTTTGGAGGAGAACGTATATACTGAACAATCCCCGGGATATGAGCAAGGTGGCGCTAACATTGCTTGTCATCTACGGTGTTCGCTGTACGGCCTACGACAGGCTCCGCGCACCTGGTATGTATGTCTTCGGTCGGTTTTGGAGCAAATGGGGTTTAAGCCATCCACTGCGGATCCTGGTTTGTTTATTAAGATGGAGAAGGGTGAGCCTATTTACGTCTTGGTCTATGTCGATGATCTTCTTATCGCTTGCAAGTCGGTTTCCTTGGTGGAGCTTATTAAAGAGCAACTGCGTAGCGTGTTTGATATGCGCGATTTAGGTGAGGCTAAGTTTTATCTGGGTTTTGAAATCCATCACGACAGGAAGGCGCATACTATTCATGTTTCACAGAAGCGTTATGTTGCGGAGGTCCTTTCTAAGTTCGCCATGGAGGATTCAAATAAGCGTTCTACCCCTATGGGTGCATTTCCAGTGCGGATTAAGGCCAGGGATTAGGGCACGGAAGTCCTTGGTTCGAGCTTACCACATAGGTTTGTTACATAAAGGAACCAAAGGTTGAAAAGGCGATGTAAGCTTGCCAACAACTTAGCCGTTTGAGCAAGTGTCGATGGAGGACAGAGGGTTAATCCCTGGCCTTAATCATGCACCCTTATGGATGCTAACCTGCGGCTATTGTCTGATAGAGATCCGCTTGATGTGTCACGTTTTCCCTACAACGAGTTGGTGGGTAGCTTGCTCTATCTGTCGGTCTGTTTGCATCCAGATATATCTCTTTCATCGTGGGAGCTTTAGCCCGCCACATGTCCAAACCTACTGTGGCGCATTGGAGTACAGTGAAAGGAGTTCTCAGGTATCTGGCCAGTACTCAGGATGTCGGTATCTCCTTCGGCGGCAACTTAAACATTGAAGGTTTTTGCGATTCGGACTTGGATGGTTCCGAAGGGTGGCGTTCTACATCTGGGTTTGTTTTCCTGCTTGGAGGTGGAGCAATCTCCTGGTCTTCGAAGCTCCAACCCACCACGTCACTGCCATGTCAACTGCGGAGGCTGAATACATGGCAGCGGCTTCTGCTATCAAGGAGGCGCTGTGGCTAAGACATCTGCTTCTTGATATCGGTGTATGAACTGGTGCTGTGCCTATCAAGTGCGACAGCGCCTCGTGCATCGAGATCAAGAAGCAGATGTCTTAGCCACAGCGCCATGTATTCAGCTTCCACAGTTGACGTGGCAATGGTGGGTTGGAGCTTCCAAGACCAGGAGATGCTCCACCTCCAAGCAGGAAAACAAACCCAGATGTAGAGGACGAAAGGGATATAAAGAGATATATCTGGACGCGAACAGACCGACAGATAGAGCAAGCTACCCACCAACTTGTTGTAGGGAAAACGTGACACATCAAGCAGATCTCCATCAGACAATAGCCGCAGGTTAGCATCCATAGGGGTAGAACGCTTATTTGAATCCTCCATGGTGAACTTAGAAAGGACCTCCGCAACATAACACTTCTGTGAAATATGAATAGTATGCGCCTTCCGCTCTCTCGAGCCGCCTTCCTGTCGTGATGGATTTCAAAACCCAGGTAAAACTTAGCCTCACCTAAATCGCTACGCTACGCAGTTGCTCTTTAATAAGCTCCACCAAGGAAACTGACTTGCAAGCGATAAGAAGATCATCGACATAGACCAAGACGTAAATAGGCTCACCCTTCTCCATCTTAATAAGCAAACCAGGATCCGCAGTGGATGCCTTAAACCCCATTTGCTCCAAAACCGACCGAAGACGTACATACCAGGTGCAGGGAGCCTGTCGTAGGCCGTACAGCGAACACCGTAGATGACAAGCAATGTTAGCGCCACCTTGCTCATATCCCGGGGGTTGTTCAGTATATACGTTCTCCTCCAAAACACCGTTCAAGAAAGCGGTTTTCATGTCGAGCTGATGTAGCTCGAGATCTCAATCCGCCACAACAGCAAGCAACGCACGAAAACTGGCATACTTGCCAACCGGTGAAAAGACCTCCGCAAAATCCACATCCTTCTGTTGCGTGAAACCCTTGGCTACCAGGCGAGCCTTATAACGCTCAATATTCCCGCTTGCATCCCGCTTAACTTTATAAACCCATTTCAAACCAATCTTTCTAGCATCCCTAGGTAACTCCTCAAGCTCTCAGGTGCGATTTTCCAGCAACGATTTCATCTCCTCATCCATGGCCGCCTTCCACTGAGGCCAATCTGCACGTGCCTTCGCCTCGGCAAGAGATTTAGGCTCTAGAGAATCTATCCCTTTGGCTATCATAACATAATCCTTGAAAAGGGAATTAGGCTGTTTAGTCCTAGTGGATGAACGCGTAGCAGCAGGGGGGGCGGAGGTACCAGCTCTGTCCTTTGGAGGTTAGGTTTTGCATAGTGTCAGCTCGCTTGTCTATCTTGTGCTTAACTGGAACGTTAATAAGCTATTTCCAGATATTTATAACATAAGTCGTTGTCGGATCTGTGGTCGGCATCATTCCCAGTGTTACGGGCATCAATGCCGCCAAAAGCATGAACCGAACGTGATCCGCTTCACTGTACCGATCCTTCCTGGTGCTAGTATTCTTCACTGCACTCTTGTCTTTGTTGTTCAGCGCGCGCTGATCAACAAAGCAGGTCCCGCGCCTTCGGCGCGCTTCTGTTACTAAGCCGCTGTGTCTTCGGCTCTTCAGCGAGACCCATCGGGTAGAGTGCAGTGATGAATACTAGCACCAGGAAGGATCGATACATGAAGCGGATCACGTTCATGCTTTTGGCGGCATTGATGCCCGTAACACTGGGAATGATGCCGACCACAGATCCGACAACGATTTACACCAGGCAGTTGACGGGTATGTCGCAGCCGGAGCTTCCTTCTGGCCCTCAGGTTCCGACATACATTAACGCCGGCTCGACTCTACAACACCCACCCACCGCCCCAGACCCGACGATGCTGCTCCTACAAATGCAGATTGCTTCATTGACGGCGCAGCTGAACTAAGCTACGCTCCAAGGTGGGCACCGACCGGGCTCGAGGGAGTTTACCACTTTGACTCAGATCTATGCAACCCCGAGAATGCAGCGCTCGCCCGCCGGTTCACGGTTTCCTTTTCCGCCGTGGATTCTAAGTCAGTTGCCGGAGGTTATGGATGTAGAGCACATGTTGTTGCATAATATTCGTGCCCTACCTGAATGGCGGGCATTGGAGCAACTGCAGTGCACCCATTCGGATCGTGCTGGTTTGCTCCTTTACGAGTTCGGCGTTATGGTGATGTCGCCAGCCATATCAGAGTTGGTTTGTGTAGGAATGGAAGCGTTAGCGAAGGCGTTGCTTTATGGTGGCATGCAAGATGCTTGGTTGGTTGCGTGTCAGAATGTGCTCGCGACACTGCTCTACGATATGCGGTGGCAATCGTCTATTTTGTCAGTGCGCCTGAATTGCTTAACGACTTTCAGTAGGCAAGGTCGGGATGGGTTGATTGCTTTACACCATCGTTATTTTGTGAGCACTGAGCGTACCGTAGCTGATCCTGTTACTAAGGAATTTGATGGTGGACTGGCCTGAGCAAAGCAGAAAGTTTCGGTAAAGCAGCTTGCAGAGTGGGAATTTAGAACTCGCAATGGTCCAGTGGGGCCTTTCCAGCAGAATAACTTCCGCCTGTGCCGTGGACGCAGGCTCTTCCACCCCGGGTGTGGCTCCCCCTGGGCAGCACGAATATTCCGCCATGTCTAGCATCGCCATTCCCCTGCATGCTAGGGCTTCGAGGTGGCTGGCGGCCTGGAAGGCAATTGGGGCAGATGTGCGCACATTACACGTCTTGAAGCATGGTGTTCCGGTTGAATTTCGAGGTGACTGCCCCCGCCTGCGTTTGACCTGCCGAGTTTCCCTGCCACAGACGAACAAAGCCGTTGGTGGTTGGAGAAGGAGGAGCCTCGCTTGGTGGCACTCGGTGCCATTTCGCGGGTCGACCCCTCCCGTGTGGTGGATCACGTGGTGAATGCCTTTTGTGTCCCTAAGCCTGATGGTGGTAACTGGTGTCTAGTCGTGAATTTGAAGCGGATGAACATAGTGCAGAAGGCCTACAAGTGCCGGTAAGAAACCCTCCACACCCTCTGGTGTATGGGCCTCGAGGGCTCTTGGATGGTAAAGGTAGATTTGGCTGACACCTTTTACCACGTTCCTATTTGTCCCGCGGATCAGCATTTCTTCACCTTTCATTGTTGTGGTGTGCTTTACGAGATGAATGTCCTGCGTATGGGGTGGCTGAATAGCCCATATTGGTTCACCAAAATCATGCGTAATGTGGTGTGTTTTTGGTGGGATCCTTTGGCTGCAGTGGGTAAGGGTCGCACCACCAGTTTTTTCCCACTTCCTGGTCAGGGTGGCCTGCTTGTCTGGGTGCGTGAGTGCTCCCATATTTTGATGATTTCCTGTTCGTGTTCACTTCTGAGGAGCAAGCATGTCTTGGTGTGCGCTGGGTGCGTGAGAGTATTGAGTTCTTGGGTTGGACCTGTCATCCCACCAGGCGCCAGTGGGAGCCGTTGCAGACAGTCTATCACCTAGGTATTACGGTCAATACGGCAGCTGGTGTGTTTGAGGTGCCTAATTAGGCGGGGCGCCTACACTGACAGGGGTGACCTAGCTTCAAATCGCTGATGACCTACATGTGACGTGTCTGCTAGTTTCATTTGTTGTACCTGTTTCATCTGGCTGGTTAGCTTGAGCCTGTGCTCCCGCACCAACCACCGAAGGGCCCACCGCAACTGGAGCTATTTGCTGAGGATAATCATCTGCATCATATTGGATGTTGCAAGTTTTAACCATACACAGTTCCTGGCAATTTATTGCAACAATTTCTCACTGCATCCAGCGACCATCTCGTTAGGAGCCACGGCCTCTTTGCCATTATTAACAAGCTGGACGCACTGCTCTCTGGTGATGTGATAATATGCACGAGACTTGCTCTGATCATTGCATCCACAGGACGCACACGAAAAGCCGAATTTGGAGAGTGGCCGTCGCATAGGTAACGGGAATATGTTTCAGCTCGAGGGGCCATTATCATTAGCTGTTATTATACCTTCAACAGCCAGCCAGGCTTGCAAACAGATGCAGTGTGCGTTTGTACTCGTTTTGCTCCAAAACAGTCTGCATCATCATGCTAAGTCATGTTCTCACTAAAACCATGACGATATCAAAAGGCTTATATAAAGGAATCCATGAATTATGACCACTCCAGCCAAACTCCATAAAGAAATTTATGAATTATGACCACTCCAGCCCACTGTAACAGCCACACACACACACACACACACACTCCAGCCAAACTCCTTCGATATGTTCTGAAGGCTCCTCAGCCCTTTATTTGGGATGAGCTCCGAATGAAAAGAAAATTCACGTTGGAAGAATGCATACAGTCATAAGTTATTAAAACAATCCCTGGCATAGCGCTCTTAGACGGCTTTTGCATGCAAAGTGACCATTTCAGCCGAACACTTCGATATGTCCTGAAGGCCCCTCAGCCCTTCATTCCGAAATGAGCACGAAACGAAATGCCAAATGAAGGGAATCCCGGGAATCGAAGGGAAGCCGGTTCCCAGAGTGTAAGCAGAAGCTTGCCAAATTGCGGCGACTGGCGATCGGGTTGCGGATCACGGCCAAGAAAAATCGGCGCCTGGTCCAGAAGCGTGAGCCGGCCAAGTTTTGTGGTTTTGCGCAGAGTGTTAAGCTGGCTCTTACTCCAGCTCCCTTATTTCTCCGTAATTCTTACGACGATGTCAAGCAGCCGGTTGGTTGGTCCGGTCGAGTGCGCTTGTCCCGTGGGTCGTTGCGTGACCTAGACTGGTGGGCGGACATCCCTACCCACCACTGAGCTTTCAGTGGACGCATCTTGCCATTCGTGGGGCGCAGTTCTACATGGTCGTGTGGCGCGCGGTTATTGGGCGTTTTCCGAGCTTACCGCTCACATCAATTGGAAGGAATTGCGCGCTGTCCGTCATGCGTTGGAATCCTTTCTGCCGTTTGTTCAATGTCGTGTCGTTTTAATCAAGGACACACATGTGCACGCAAGCAGTGCTGGGGCGCCTTTTCTCGCGCTCCCAAGCCCTGCATGCCGCGTTAAAATTGTTGTGGGAGTTCATGCAGCAGCATAGTATTATTTTACAGGTTGAACGCGTTGCTAGTGTGGATAACGAGGCGGATGAACCCTCGCGTTGGGTTGATCGTGATGACTACCGGCTGACATCCCCGTTATTTCCGGTTGCTGGAGCGCCGTTTCGGTCCACATCAGGTTGATTTATTCGCCACGCATGTCAATACGCACCTCCCAGTTTTCTTTTCGCGCCACCACTGTCCGGGCTCGTCGGGAGTCAATGCGCTCTTGCAATCGTGGCCTGGGCTTAATGCTTATGGCTGCCCACCCTTGGACCCCGACTTCTTGCTCGCTGCGGTGCAAAAAGTGCGCGAGGATCGAGCGTGCCTCACCCTAGTCGTTCCGTACTGGACGGCCCAACCTTGGTGGCAACAGTTGATGGAATTGGCGGTCGACCTGGTGTTCCTGCCGTCGAATACGGAGAAGGTGTTTGCACCGGGCGAGGGCGGGTCGAGCACTTTCCTCTCCCCCCCGTCTTGGCAGGTCGTAGCAGTGCGGGTGCAGTTTTAGCTTGGGCGCAGTCGCATAGCACTCGGGCGGCCAGTGTGGCGCTTCCCCGTTACTCATTGGATCTTCAGTCGGTTGCGGCGCCCCCCGTCATTACTAACTTGTTGGTGTCCCAGCTGCAGCTCGTGGCCCCTAGTCTGGATCACTCTGCGCGTCCTTTGCAGATTGCTCAGGTTGTCATGTCCCGTGTTGGTGCCAAGCCCTGGCAGTCGTATGCGTCGCATTTTGCTGCCTTTGTGCGTTTCTATGTGGAGGAAGGTTTGGAGTTTCTCCCGGCCTCCCATTATGCCGGGCTCTTGTGGGGTCAGTTTCTCGCTGCCAAGGGCTCCATCCAAGCCCACACGGCGCAGCCTTATTTCAGTGCTATTAACTCCGTGCATGACTTGCTCGGGTACCCTAAGCCCTGTGCCGGAGACAGCACCCTGTTGGCGGCGCTTAGTAGAGGTTGGGAGCGCTTGCAGCGCTCAATGGCGCCTGCTTCCACGCTCCTGTTGGCCTTTAGTGCAGGTGATGCTTGGCGTCTTTATGAGCAGTTGGCCGTGGTACCCGTTAGCTCCGAGTAGTCCTTGCCCTTGTTGTTCGTTATGATGAGTTTCTATCTCTTTCTTCGCCCCGACTCTCTGTTGTCGGTAACCGGGGCGCGTGTTGCTGTCGTTCATGGGGAGCAAGTTTTTCAGTACAAACCCCTCAATTGGAAGGGCCGTTTGGTTGCCCCGGAGCGGGCACCTGACTTGCAGTTTTCGCTTGCCTGTCTCCCTTTCCTGCAGTGGGCTATCCGTCAGCGTTTTTTGCGTGATCCGTCACGGTTGTGGCTGGCGGGTCAATCTACGCGTGGTGCTGAGCGTTGGTTTGACTTAGTCCTTGCAGGATGTGGCTTGCCTCATTTGCGCGGGTTGCATTCTCTCTATAGCCTGCGTCGAGGTGGCGCTTCCGCTGCTCGAGCGGTGGAAGTGCTGTTTGAGGTCGTTGAAGCGTTTGGCGGTTGGTCTGCCGGTTCTGTAGCCCTCCGAGAGCACTATTTAGACTTTGGCGTTCGTGCTTGTCCTGCGGCTGTTGCTTTCTTTAGCCCTCTTGCGGCCCGTCGCGTTGCGCCGTTTGGTGCTCAGGTTTTTTAACCGCTAGAGGGGGTATCTTCTCCTTTGGCATTTACCTATGGAGCAACAACTAACTGTTCATGGTGTGCGATTCGTTCGGCTGGCGGAGAACTTGCATTGGAGACGGCGAATTGAATGGACCGTTATCAACTAAGCCCTGTGGTCCTCCGTGTATCTCTTGCCTTGCTGGCTATGTGGGTGCCCTTGACTAGGAGAGCCTTCTGAGGGGCCGTGTCTGGCGTGGGTAGGCCTTCCCTTGCCTCGGCTCTTTTGTTGATGTTGTTACAGGGTGGTTAAGCTTCACCAGTGGCCTCCTTCCCGAGGCAGTTCCCTGCTCTCCCCTGCTAGAGGGGCACCCTAATCCATTCACCCCATCCGACTTCAGAGTGTACTCTTTGAGTTTGGCAACTCACCACCAGCATCCAACCAAATCTAGCGGATCAACGGCGCGTCAACTTAATCAGCTCGCAAGTTGATTTTATCACGTCCTACACCGTCCCATTTCATCACCTCTCAAACACCCCGAGAGGTCGGCAGTCGGATTTGAACTCGGACGCACCGGGAGCAGAAGCCAGGCCTTAACCTCTGCCAGCCGCCTGCCTTTTGTATGTGCAGTGGAACCCCTGCGTAGAGGCCCTGCCCCCGGTGGTGTTTTCTGTTTGTTCTTGTTTTGGTGGTCTAGAAGGGGAGAGAGCGCGCAATAAGGCTGGCCAGGCGGGGCAGTGGGGGCAGGTAGCCTGTTTAGGGTTCCTAGAGGTGGTGCGGCGCCTCTCGCTTAGTTTGGTTCGCAGGCTTCTGCGCCGCTGTGGTGCCGAGCCACAGGCTGGGAGAGTGCCCCGGCTGGCGTGAGTGAGGGAGCGAGGTGCGCGCGGAGGAACATATGGACGTAAGCTAATGCAGTTTCGTTCATGTTGCTGGGCTCTGGAGGCAAACAGAGCACGAAGAGGCAAGTACCATGTCCCCAGGGGGCAGCGGTTTTGCCGCTGCGGTGGTGAAAAACACGTGTTATTGGGATGCCCAGCCTATAATGATATTCGTGCTGAAGAGGGACTCGATCATCAACAGAGCATGTTGGCGGCCATGAAATGGGAACCAGCACGTCTGGCGAGGATGTTGAAACGTATGTGGGCTCATTGAAACTCAATTACCCCCTTTGGGTGCTAGTCTGGGCTGATGTGCGGTGTTTTCCTTTCCTCCGTGGCTTTTAGGCGTTGTAGTATTGCCCTTGGGCCTTCGGCTCATATGGGTAGTCTTACAGGTATGGGGTCACCCACCCCCAACCATGTAACACACACACACACACACACACACACACACACACACACACACACACACACACACACACACACACACACACGCACACACACACACACAGATGGACGTGGAGCCGTCCTTGCACTGTGTCCGGTCCGGTCAGGGCCTCCGGTGCTCGTCCTTTCTCGGGACGAGCCGCCCACAGTGTAACACCCCATCAACTCGGCGAGGATCGCCGCAACAGGCTCATTAACGCTACTACTGCTGGCAGTAACAGAACTAGTAACGGACAGAGCCCTATGTGCTATGGCACCACCACCGAACCTACTTGTCCAGCACGCTTTGCTGCCGCCTCGACCCTCGAGGACATTAAATAAATGGATGCAAATAATGATATTACAGCTTTTATCCGACGGGATCACCTAAACATTTTACTGACAAGGAAACGTCGACGATTCCTGCTTTCGCTGTGAGTTGTCCCACACAGCGCCGCCTCGGGGCGGGTATATGAAAGGAACATCATATGTCTATTGTTTATGTACATGCATGACGCATGCCATGACGAACCATATGTACATAATCCGTTCGTTTAGTGCGCCGGCGCATGCCGGCGCCCGGCCGTCCTCCAGACGGACAAACATACGTGCGCAGCGCATTGTGCATGTCGCTGATTAATGTTAGGCGGACGCAGGAGCGGAAGAGCAGCTTAGATTATAAAGGACAGTACGACACGGCAGCGAAGCAGCTGCGAACAGGCTTCAAGCTGGCGGGCAAAACGTTACGGACGCAAAAAAAAACTAAGACAGACTGTTCCACTCGAAACATAAACTTGTTTGAACTTGGATTGAGCTTGCTTGTAAACACTACCGCCATCACCACATCGATGCGCTACTGCAGTGGGCATCATCCGCATCGTGCGGCCGGCCGTCCCTTTTTTGCAGCAGCGTCCGTCGGCACTAATGTAGAGCGGCAAGTCGCCTTACTTAAATGTGCCCATTGCAGCAGGCTAAGGATTATAATTCAATGAGAGTTTCAATAAGATCCGGGAAATGCACTCTTAGTCTCCATACGTTTTTGCACTCCTCCAGCAATACGTAACAGCAAGAAGTCTAATCGTCACTCGTCGGGAAACCACTCGCTCTCGCTTTGGTAATTATGTATAGCGCAAGTTTAGTATATACCGTAGACGGAGTCTCACCGATAATTATATTTTGCAGGGATTTAAGCCATTAACATCCACCGGTAACACTCGACACATAAAGGTCCCAAACGACGCATGCCATAAATCTCCACCAATCAGGCTAGATTTTACGTGAATACTTTGTTGTTTATAAAGACTCGGCAGTACGTACAGCTCCTCTTGTGCCTGCTCATCAGCTGTCCGACGCACCACGGCACGCTACTGCGATAACGAGTTAAAGATTCAGCTAAAGGGGATGCCGAAGAAGACACCGAAGGGTTTTCATCCCCTTTGGGGAACCTTTGGGGGATGAAAACCCCGTGCTATGAATCCTTGGATGCGTAAATGGATCGATCACACCCTCGTCCACAAAACCATAAATTTGCCTTCCCGTACATTCTTCCCGTACATTCTTCATATCAGAAATATGAACAGAATCCCATTCGAGCACGTGCATGGCCACGCAACCGCGTGGCCGCCCTGCCTCTACTTCCGCTATTATGGAGGCGCGCCCGTGCATGATTTCTCCCCGCCATCTTAAACCCTTAACCGCGAAATGTATCTGCGGTGTACAATGTGAATATCCCAGTGCTCATTCACCTGTCCTTTCATGCTCCATTTTAAAACCAAAACAGTAAAAAAAACACCTTTACCTGTCCTGGTTGCTGATTTTACGGAAAATAACCCCCTACACACCACCACCATTTGTCTGGAGCCCACTGTAACAACCACACCATTTGTCATCCTGCCCGGCAGGTATATCTTCTCCGAGAAACACGGCAAGTTGCGACTGATTTGATTCCTTGCCTAAGAGCTGAAGTATATTCCTCAACGAACAACTAATTATTGCCAGCCACATGTTCTTCGGGATCTCCGTACGAACTTTACATAGCCAAGCGATAAATGCCTTGTGCTATGCATAACCACCCTACAAGCCACATGTCACGCGTATCTTGCCGCTTGCAGACCGTTAATCAAATGTACAGGGGCACAAATCCATTGCGGGCATGTCGCCAACGGTGGACGACGGTCGGAAGTTAAGCGACCAAAGCTTCACTTCGGACATGTAGCAGACAGCAGCCTCGCTCGGCAGCCTTCCAGCTAGCTATCCTGAGCTACCCGAAAAAATCTCCCTCAGCCCTTAGCCGAGCCGGCTCACACACATTCTCAATCAATCACACAAGCAAAGAGTGTTTACATCGCGAGCTCAGCGTCCATCCTCCAAGTAGCGGCGAGAAGACGACATTGCTGGCGAAGCCTGCATCTCGGAAAAGCTGCAAATGCCACGCTGGCACGAACTAGCCTCGTCTCCACTTTCATCAGTAGTACGAGGTACTGGCGTAACCTCAGCTGGTGTCCGAGCAGGCTCGCCACACGCCCGCTTCTGCACGAGGGACGGCAACGGCAGCCGCGTCTGTGGGGTCGACGGCAGGCAGCACTTCGGCTCCGTTATCATATCAGCAGCCCGCCGCCGCCTGCGGGCGCTGGTAAGCTGGTTGAAGCTCGACTACCGCTCCGGCCGACGCACATGCGCCGGTTTCCTGCGGACATGAATGGCGACGGCGGTTCCCCAGGCGGCGGCGGATCGGTGCCAACGAGGGACGTGGAGTGCAACGTGCAGGTGCTCCGACCCGTGGCCTCCATTCGGCTATTACCACGTGGAAACGGGTCTGCGAGACATGCACTTCATTCCTGCTGCGTATCCTGCTGCTGCTGCTACTCCTACTGCTGCTACTGCTGCTGCTGCCGCTGTTCCTGTCGCTGCTGTTGTTGTTGTTGTTGTTGTTGTTGCTGTTGTTGTTGCTGCTGTGCAACAATCGTGCTGGAAGTCAGCACGGATAGGTCGTGTGCTGACTGGCGGCGACGTACGTTCTTGCCGGCCGCGCGGTTCATTGTGGCCTGCAGGAGCGCTGTGTCCGCTGCCGTAATGCTGGTGGCTGGAGCCGGAAGCCCGGGCTCAGAGGGAGCCACGGCAGTGCTGAGGCCGCTGGTAGCATTGCCGCCAGCTGGCGCTGCATCGACTACAAGCTCATCCAGCCCGCGCATGCTAAGAACTGAAGTCCGGCGCTGGTGGTGGTTTTGCTTTAGAGACGACTGGCTGCCAATAGCGGGTCGGATACTGCTACTTGTGCTGATGCCGGGCGCTGCAGCAGCCGCTGCGGCAGTAGATAGCGGCAGTAGCACACCCATCTGACCGCTTGTGGCGCTTTGTGGCCCGATGAGGCCGGCAAGAGGTGAAACTGCGCTTCGGCCTTGGGTTTCAGGTCCCTGAACAGGCGTGTCTACAAGAACACCGCCAACGCCACCTGCTGCTGCTGCCGCAGCAGCTGCGACTGCCGGTGACCGCCGCAAGCTGCTCCCGCCGTTGCTACTGCCGCCGCTCGCACTCATGACGACGGCTGCAGCTGCTCCGAAAACGCCGCCTTGCTCGTCCTCCAGCCGTTGCAGCCGTTCATCCACGCTGGAGACGTCCTGGAAGAGATCCTCCGTACGGGCTGCAGTAAACGTACGGAAGGATGAAACCCCACGGCCGAGGCATAAGGCAGCGCAGAGCGGGGTGCATGAAAGATGGGGATCCAAGGATCAGTGGCAGTATTACAGCACGTCATAATCGTCAACAACTTGCGAGTAGTGCGATTGGGCACAGCAACCAAAAAATGACTAATGAAGCAATTAACGGTATGTTGCTTTTACGCAGGATGCAGGATGTGCAGGATGGGACACCGAATGGAACGGGTGCAGACATAACTGCCGAAGGGGATCTACGGCAACTTTCGGTTGAAGCTATTCCCTCTTGAGTATACCGTAGCGGAACTAAAGATTTTACAAAATAAACATTTTACCGCAAAATTATGGATTTTAATATATTTTACGGAACGAAGTATTTTACCGCATGCTGGCGGATTTTGCCAAGATTTTACGGTACTGTGGATGATTTCCTGGGATTTTACCGGCCCGCAAAGCTACCCAACCATGCAACACCACTGCCTGCCTCCCTCTCACGCATAAGGGGCTATGAGAATCATCACGACACGTCTCAAACTACGAATCTCCGAATTGTAAACCCCCATCTGGAAGCCAAGCCACCGTGACACGGCCTCCAAACATCCACCATTCTGTAGCAGCCGCAGAATTCTTATGATTGATGAAGGACGCGAGAGCATTGCCGTGTATGGTATGGTATGGCCGGCAGCTTGTCAATGAAGCGGTGTTTGGTGAGCTTGCGCTTGCCCATGCTGCTGCCAGAAATAGGTTGATATAGTGATATGTTACAATATTCTGTGTAAAATAGTATAAGAGGTAGTGCCAAAAGCCTGTTGTGCGTGAAGGGCCATATGTATTTTACGGCATCGCTCCGAATTCCCTCCCGGGAACTAAAGATTTTACAGAAAGACTCTGAATTTTGCCAAAACATTTTACCGCATGCAAATAATTATTTATTTTGTAAAATCTTTAGTTCCGCTACGGTATTTCCCATGTCGTGTGTGCCCATGCACAGGCGCCACCTTCACCATCCTCGCTCGCCTCCTATTGTATTCTGTAAGGCATATCACTGGATCTGCAACCGCAAATCGGTACTTTTCTGCAGCTGTAGCAGTTGTAGTCGTGTTAAAACACCTCCGTGTCTCATAGAAAACAAAGACGCTCACCACAAGTTTCCGTGAGCCCTTCCACCAGCTGCTGCAATAGCTCCGCTGTCCGGGAGTTGAGCAATTCAACTGCAGCCAAGACTTCACGTTGTACGACAGCCTTTATAGACGGCTCCTGCAGCCATCATGCGGCAGGTGGAGTACATCAAGGCATACATCAGCGGAGCATGATTGGTGATATTGTAAAGGGCACATTAATACGCCGCATTGTGACTTTGCCGCCTCGTCCATGGCTTCCCCCCTCAAGCTTTTACGGACAGCGCCGTACGGGTGTGTGTAACTTGTAACTTGTAACTTTTGACGCGGGAGCCGTTACATCAAAACCCTTTCTTGGGAATATTTCCTATTTGGCTTGTGTCTGTCAAGTTGTTGCGGACTTGTGGAATGGTCTTCTGTGCCTGTGCAGAAGTGACGAGGTTCGCTCAAGAGTTGGGCAGAAGAGCAGTGGGACGTTAATGAAGGATGGAGGACGCTTAGCGAGGGGCAAAAATAAAGCTAGCCACACCGCAGACAAAGAGCGAGCTGCACATGCAACTTTGCCTACATTACACCGTCTATATTTCAAATTCTGCTCAAGGATCATTTGAAGAGTTCAGCTCCCTTGGCATCTCCCTGAGTACTCTTTGCCTGGTGTTACAAAATAGAAATGGCAGCTTCTTGTGTAGAGACTGGCAGTCAACGCTACACCTGGGGTGCGAGCACAGCAGTACCTGTGCTGAGACGCCGTACAGCGGCTGACCATCTGGTCTGTTTGGGCGCATGCGCGCTCTCGTTTTCGAACTGCCATCGTGAAGATAGTCATGACGCGGAGTCGTGGCCCTCCGCCGGGATGCGGCGCCTAGGTCCCGCCCTCCCACCTAAGGGAGTTTTAAGTTCCTAGGGTGCGCCGCATTTCCCCTAGCACGCGTGTGGAGTTGCGAAATTACAGCTTCGGCGGTTTAATGTTAACGTTACATGTTAAAACCATATCACGGTATTCAGCTGACTATCCGAATTTTGATCCCGGTCGGCTTTGGACCTCTGTGGTCCATAATATAATACGCCATAATATATCCAGGACTGTCCAGGACTATATCTTCACTGCCGGCCACTTAACGACGGGCCACAGATTCAAAACTGGGACCCGTCGGGGAATGGTATTAGGGAGCTGCCGCGGGGTTGTCTGACATAGGGGTTGGTTGTCGAGGGGTTGCCGACCTGGTTAGGCTGTAACGTTATCTGACACTGAGGGGTACTTAGGGTAGAGTACTCCACAGTGCAAATCCTTAGTGTCGAGCAAGCCACGAGAATGTTCTAGACTGTTGCCGGTTCTGGTGCTGTTGTTGTGTGATGTTGCGTTCGTAAGCCCCATCCAGCTGCTCAGTGACCTCTACGTTCCTAGATGCCAAGTGCCCCGGGCCGGCCTGCTCCCGGTCGTCCACGTGCTTGCCGTACGTGTCGTATACTAGCCCATGCAGGCGCCGTATACCAGGCCATACGTTACGTTTAACAGCCCATGCATATGCCATCGTATCAGCCCGTGCAGATGCCGTATTTAGCCCATGCACGTGCCGCTGTATCAGCGCATGCACGTGCCGTCTGTCAAGCCGACCAACCTTCAAGGGATCCGCCAAAATAGACTCCACACGCTCCTGCGCAGCCGCCAGCTGCTGCTCCATCGCCATGCAACCAGCGCACCGAGCATGCCGACACGATGGCTGCTGCTGAAGAAGCTGGTCGTTTAGCCACCCGTCGACGTCGCATCCTGCACTGCCGCTGCCCGTTGATGCACGCCTACAGGCCAGGTTGCTGGAGCCACTGGCACGGTGGCTTGAGCCATGCAACGTGGAGGTCCGTGGGAGGCTGCGCCGACCCACGGGTCCAACCAACTGCCGCGTGGCGCTGCCTTCTGTCACAGAGTCCAGCGCCGTCGCGATATCGCCAGGGAAGTTCCAATGAGCCAGAGAGGGCGCTGCTGCTGCTGCCGTGGGAGCGCCTCCCAGCCGTCCTCGATGCCAACGGTGGCTAAGGGAAAGGCCACCGTTAGCAGCGACCTGCTGGGACGGCTGCTCGCCGAACAGCTCACCTAGCGGGTCGACTCCAAGGAAGGGTTGCGGCGCAAGGAGGAGCAGCTGTGACCCCGTAGGACTGCGCTGCTGCTGCCTGGGGCTGCTGTCGCCGCTGATGTCCCCCAGATCCCCATTTAGATCCAAGTCCTGGGATGTCATGTGTGCTTGTGGTTGTACTTGGGAGTGGGGATGAACACGGGCATAGGCATGAACATGGGAATGGACATGGGCATAGGTGTATGCGTGGGCCTGAGCTTGAGCTTGGGCTTGAACGTGCTGGCAGCTGCCGCCGCATCCACTGCCGTCATCCTCATTCGTGGACAACATGGGAGGGGCCGCTGCTGCCGCCATCGTGCCTGTGCTACAGCTGGTCGTCGCAGCAGCTGCAGCCGTGGCAGGGTTTGCCACATTTACTGATGGCCCACCGTTTGAGGCGGCTGTGGCAGCAGCAGCAGCAGTGGCGGCTGCAGCGACGGCGGTGGCTTCCTGTCGAGCTCGCTTGCTCAGGTAACGTACGACGCCACCACCTTCTGGAGGGTGTTGGGAGCTGAAGCGAACGCGCTCCAGGGCTGCAAAGTCATTAGAGTCGAAATTGTGCAAGAGCGCTGCAGGAGCAGGCGGTGGTTGTGGTGCCGACGCGGGCGGCTGTTGGTGATGTGGTGGTGCAGTGGGCGGCAGTGGTTGCGGCGGCGGCGATGGCATTGACGACGACGCGATCGGGCTGGTTGGCCGTGTGGTTGTGTACTGCTGGAAGGGCACCTCAGCACTATGATACCATGGTGTTGTTGCGCCAGGGACAGCTTTGTAGCCCGCTGTTGCATCGCCTTCAGGAACCGGCGGCGGCCCATTTCGCTGAGGGGGGTTAGAGGATGATCCCCTCGCCGTACTTGACCTCCATTCCAGGAAGCGATCTAGCGTGCATGTGTCATCTGGGACCCATAGGGCCCGAGGGTGCCGGTGATTGTCAAAGCAGCGGCCCGGAAGCACCGACGGCTGCTGTCTACCTGAAGGTTCGCCGCCATGACAGTAGGCCACGCCATTCAGTACGTGCGAAGGCCCAGGGGGCCGCATTGCGACAGGGAGCCGAGGCGCCTGCCGCCGCGGCCGGGCGGCGGCAGCAGTAGAAACGCCGGCTCGGCTGATATGGCTCGTACTGTGCCCAGCAGCAGCCAAACCACGCACAAAACGTTCCGCGGTCAAATGTGCCATTGGATCAATAGTGCTACCAGCGGTCGGCTTGTTAAGGTTCAGGACCTCACAGAGCGAGTCCACAGATGAGTGAGAGAGGCTGCTGGGCCGACCGCTACCTGATTGAGAGCAGGTGCGTGCAGCTAGCACACAGGCTCCGGCTGGCTGTATGGAATCTAGCACTGACTCAAGCGTACTGGCGGTTGTTAATACGCTCTGGTCCTCTGTCCTTGTTGTTGCCTCAGCTACGGGTCCGCTGCCACCACCGGTAGACGTTCCGTGGGTTGCAAGGTGGGCCCTGATAGCATCGGCGGATCCCGCTGCTGCCTTGTCCCGTCGCCGACGAAGCCCTGCGCCTCCCGCGCCTGTGGCAGCTCGCGGAGGCTCGCAGGTACCCTTAACAATACAAAGCGACTGACGCTGCTGCTCCCTGTCGCTGGTTCTGGTGACCGCTTTTGTGTGTAAGGTGGGCTCATCGCCGCTCCTGGCAATGGCAAGGGTGCCACCGTAATCATCGTCCGCGCCGACAGACAGCCCTTGTCTGTTTCTCGGAGTGCCGGGTCGGTTCGTGGTAATCAGCTGTGGTGCTTCAATACTTCTCTGGGTGATAATGGGTGCGGTCTGTCCCGCGCTGCTGGTCTCCGTGTCGCCTTCGTTACCATCTTCGCCGCCGTTTGCTAGCGCCTGTTGATGCTGTTGCTGTATTATTGTATACTTGGCTGCCATTGACGCTGCCCACACTGCTTGGCCGATTTCGTGATCCTCTAACTGCACCTGGGAACGACCCTTTACAAGCTCGGCGCTAGCAGGAAAGTCTCGCATGGCGTCCTGCGTGCATGTGTTTTGATGTGCCGACGTGAAGCAAGGCGTGACCTGTATTTTCTTTCAACTTTCCATAGGTCTGTACGCAGGTAATCATGATGTTTGCAGGTATGTCCACAGAAAACCCTAAAACCCTACAGGGTTTAGTTCTATCAGTGAATTTGGTAGAAGAGATAAGTGCGGCCCGGCCCTGGCCCATACCATATACCCAACAACGTGTGGTACGGTTTGGTCCCGTACGCACTGATAATCATTTCACTGAGATCTGGTTTGTTCTGGATCATCGTGTCAACATGTATGGACGCTATCGTACAGAGGTATATACAGACATAACTGTAGGGTCCCAGCGAGATCAATCAAATTAGCAAACGAAGCAAGGCCGGTATGGAGTTGTAGGGGCAAGAGTTGCATGTGGAGAAGTCACTTCATCTACTTCCCTCAGCTGACAGAGCAGGAGGGCAGGAGGCTGCGGACGGCTGATACGCACGCCGACGACGACGGCGCACCTGCAGGTCGCTGCGGCTCAGGATCATCGCATCGGTTGCGCACATCGCCACGGCGCGCTGTGGCCGCGGCAGGTTGGAGGTCATGACCCCCAGATCGCCGAAGTGGTCGCCGCCGGTCAGCAGCGCGGTCATGCAGCCATCCGGTTCCGTAAGGACCACTACACCGCGCCAGATTATGTACATGTCGTGGCCCACGCTTCCCACATCGTAGATGATGTCCTTTGGCATGAACACGGACAGCCGGAGCCGCTGGGCCAGTCGCCAAATGAAGGCACGCTCGCAAAAGGCGAACAATTGGATCTGCGGGTGCCGATGCATGAAGGGTTGTGCATGTGACGGCCTGGGGTTGTTTTGCGTAACATTCGTGGGGGGCACGGCGCGCACGGGATGGAGCTTCTGTTGTCCTCCATAAAGACAGCCACCCTAGCCACCACCTGTTGATGCGCCCAATGCAGTGATTTTTTTTTCATTTAGGGGGGTCTCAATTTATTCCAACCTAAGTAACAAAGTTGCTAGCGTCGCCGTTATGTATTCCTTAAGAG